CGATAAGGACAAAATAAAGGGTAAAATGAATAATACAAAATTGGCTTTTTAGTGTAAAAATGTGGTTTTTCATTAAAGTGAACAGTATCAGGAGCTTTTCGTTAAAGTTTCATTCTTCTTATGCACAATGGTGATTATGTGGACGCCCAACTATAAAGACAAATTCTTAGTTGTTTATAAACCATTCTTGGGTGCCCAGAGACAATTTTCGAGTGTCCATCGGATCACCCTTTTTCGTAAGGAAAACAACTAGACACAATCTGACTGAATCACAATATGACAAATGTCCCTACCTTGAGCCATTTGTCGCCCCAACATACCTGGGTGTAGCAAGTTGGCTATAGCAGTTTGCCTCCCCTTGAACTTACACCCAGAGTTCGAATCCCCCTCCCCATAGTTTCGTTTAGATTAGAATATTGCTCAACCAATAATAAAAGCTAGATGTAACCCCCAAACTCTAGCCCTAAGATGGACATGAAAAGTATGATTCTGGTGTCAGCACTTGTTCAAATAATATTGATCTTTTTTACCATAACATCCTACCTACTGAAGCATGTGTTGAGTACCTCGCTTTTAAAGGGATTAACTTTCATCCCAGATTCAATGGTTCACTTAAAAAGATAACCACTTTTGAAATTTGCGGTTTTGATAAAATTAGTGAAATTATTGTCCCACGTATACCAGTGATATGGTTTTGGAAGAATTATTATATAGTAATTATAGTTTATCAAAACTTAGCGGGTGGGCATAATTATATTATTTCAAAGTTTGGTAAAGAGACACCTGTATCTGGTGATTCAAAAAGTCTCATTTTATAATTCATGCAGTCTAGTGGAATCATTGTAATCTTAATTTGACTCTAATGAACATGGTTGAACTTGAGGGAAGGTAGTGCTTCAAAGTCCTTTACACTAGGATTTCCATACCTTGGTGAATCGAAAAAAAGTAGATTGGTTGAAAGCAAATTAGGTAAAGACTCACCTATATCTCATATCTGGTGCATCAAAAAGTTTCAGTTTATCAATTATGGTGTCTAGTGAAATTATTGTATAGCCAGCGTCTCCAACAGGAACCTTATATGGAATGCCCACAACCCTATAGCCCCTAAATATGGGGAAATAGAGGTCCTCTAATTATCTCAACGTACAAGGACTCACAGGATAACTCAAAAAAATCCTCAAAAAATGGGCACCAATGTAGATTTTGAGTGGGAAACAAGCCTGACCCGCTTGATAATGTTGCACAATAGCTTCTTTCACCGCCAGACTGAAACAACGTCAATCATGGGCCCTATACCACACTTGTGACATTTTCCATATTTTTAACCGTTGGGAAACCAACGGTAGAAATAATTTTTTGGTTTTTTTCTTGTTTTCATCAACGGCCACAATATTCATTTAGGGTTCTGAATATTCTATTGAAGCCCTTGAAAGAGTCCTCAAGAGTGATGGTGGAGATGCCCTTGGTACTTGATGTACTTTATCAGGCTATGTTTTGGAACCCCTGTGGTAGTTTGTACGGCTGAATTCATAGCTCAAACTCAATCTAGTCGGAGTCACTACTATGACTTATACGGCAATATACTGCACATAAGTCGGAACCACTAGAAAGGGTATGTACGACAAGGTTGGGTGTAATATAGCTATGCTCAATGATAAGCCCTCATGCTAGCTGTGCGATAAATCGTTAGTCACCTACGAGTCGGAACCACTTATAGTGGTCTGTACGACAAGACTGTGCACCTAAATTAGATCCAATGTGAGCATATGGTGTGGGAGGTGACATAATATACAGGCCTGTGCCAACTCTCTCTGGCTAAATCGCAATCACCCTGGTGCAAGTTATGAGTTCAATGTTCATCAATACCTTTATAATCATTCTATTCACAACTAAGGTATTTGTCTTAATCACATCTCATATAGACAATTAACATGCTCATCTCATTTATTGAAAGGCTGCATCTAACCTTTCGTTAGACTGCCTACGTACCCTAAATAGGGATCAAGCCGTTCGTAGTTCACCTAATCAAACATAACTTACCTGAACTTACTTGTACCTCCACAGCACCACATATATATATATATATATGCAACCATGAAATGCATATTCAAAATATAAAGGCATTTGGCATATTGTTTCAAAGCATACTTTAATTTAAAACACATTTCTGGGAAATAAATCAAGTATATAAATATATACTGAAAACAAAAGCCCACTCACTGATAAGTCGAAGGGTCGTAGCCCCCGAGTCGCTCGTGGATACGCTTGTCCTTGGGATAAGTCTCACATATTTGAAGCTTCAAATATCACGAAATTACGTCGGGGAAGCTTCGAAATTCCAACCAAAACTGCAACTCGACGTTTCTCGTGATCTCGACGTCCAAATTCCTCGAACGAGCTACCCCGAGACTCGTGAAGACCTCATTAAGTTTCCTATAAGCTTAGAATTCCCTAAAATGGGCACCAATCAACTCGTAGCACCACGAGGAACACAATGGTGCACCCAAAACCTTCGATCTGTGAAGTTTGGGGTGATCTTGAAGCTTGTCTGTACGAATAGCAAGGAGAGAGAGAGTGAAACCAAGAGAGAGTGTACGGGGAGGAAGAAAGATAATGAGGTTTGTGTGTGTGTGTGATCCACGTGGGTCACCCATCCAAAACCACAAAATAATCTTTAAGTCTCAATAGGTCATACACACACACACAACAATTTCCTCGTCCAAGGATAAAACCGTAATTTCACATTATTGAAAAATTAATTATTTGGGACGGGCTGTGACACTTCTCAAGATGAATGGAATAGTATTGTGAACTCAGTATTTGCTATTAAGGTTTGTCACAAGGGGTTTTTGAAATTGACATAGCCCAACAAAATAGTTCATGAAATTGAAAATCAATCAATATAATTCTTGAAAATAGATGTTGCAAAATAATGGGTCCTTCTAAAAAAAAATTCAAAAATTCGGTTATGTTCTGACCTATCACATAATTAGGTTCTACAAATCTAATTAAATATTGACATATGATTAAAAATATTTTAAAAAAAAGAGACAAAATGTATTTTTATATAATTATAAAAAAGAAAAAAGAAGAAAAAAAAGAAGAACAGTCCCTTGAAAGCCCTTCAACTTCGACCAATCAAATCACTCCGTTGCACCTTACCCAGTCCAGAACCATTCCAAAATTCGAACACCTTCAAACTGGAAAACTAAAATTCTGAAATCGACACCATGAGATCCACTGCTGCAACCACCACTAAAGCCACTCGAGCAAGTGATGGGACTCTATAGTGTTGTTATTATCTATTAGGTCAAGTGATGGGACTCTATAGTGCTGTTATTATCTATAGTGTTGTTATTTTGAAATTGACTCTAAGCTGTTAGACTTCTATTAGGCCAATTAGACTATATATTGTTGTTATTATCTATTAGGTCCATTACATATGTAATACTATTAGGCCAATTTCGATCTCAAACCCTACTTATTTTTTAATGTATTTAAACCCTTTTTATTATCCGGAGAAACAATAAATGAAGATATGGATTTACTTTAATTTCTTTTCTATTTCTGCATTTAATTTATTGCAATTTCCCTTTTTATCATGTTTGATCCTATCAGCAAGCCACCATCAAATTGGTCTCCTGATCCCAAAAGGGTGGCCTCCAATTCCTCGTTGGCTGCGTCACTTGATTCCTGAAGATCGGCCGCTACGCCTAGCGAGTCGGCGGTGGCTCCCCATCTACCTCTATTTTTTTTATTTTTTTTATTTTTTTATAATTATATAAAATAAAATTTATTTTTAATATTTTAATTCATATATGAATATTGAGTTTTTGACAAAATTGTGATATAATGAACACATTGATTTGTGACACTCTCCAGGAACTACATTAATCGATTTTTCTATTCTAGGGACCATCTTGATAGATGGTCAATTTTAGAGATTGTTTGTGATAAAAGCCCTTGCTATAATACTTACATAGTTACACATATTTAATATGATTATCATTTTGATTGTCAGTTGGTGGTTCTATTAAAATTTTATATGTTATTTTTTTAACAAACAATATTATCTACACTAAGAGAGTTGGGAGTGGGCTAAGCCATGGCTAGCAATAATATTGTTTAAGTTCGCTTAAGGAATATTTAATTAAACTTGTGGGGCCTAATTATGTGTCATATCAGTACATAACATAATTTTTGACGAAATCTTAACGGAATGACCACATTGATTTGCGACACCCATTTTCAAGGACTACATTGATCGATTTTGAATTTCAAAGACCATCTTGATAAGGTGGATCAATTTCAAGGATCATTTACGATAAAAACCATTCATTGGATACTTAAACTAATAATATGTAATTTAGGATTGATTGTTATTTGTGAAACTTGAAATCGGATTATCTTTCCCAAATCTGTAAAAAAAAATCTTCATTTCTGTCCAATTTTTAAGTTAAATAAAAAATCAAAACCAATCTGAATTTGAAATACGCAAACCCGAATTACTTTTGTTTACTTTCTAAGAATTAAAAGCCGCACCAAAGAGTAACCCCGGTTTTTGCAAAATCAAAACATTGTTAAAGTAAAGAAAGAATGCGAAGGAACAAGAGAAAGGGGCTAAAGACGTTTCGTTGCGCATAGAAAACAATTGAAAAAGTTCAAATTTATTTTGGCCGCACAATTTGTTTCCAACAACTGATATTTTCCATATACAAGTCAAGTCAGTAAACTTATTACATGTGAAAAGACTTTGCAACAGCATGAGAAACTTTTCATTGTGATCGGCACACGGTGGTACATCATGTGTTTTTATATAAGTGGTGAAAATTTTTATTTTTATGTTATTAATTTTTTAACACACATATCCCACTGTTTGTATAGTTGTACCATCCCGAGTTTCGATCACATCAAAATATATCTCCACTACCATTCGAAATTTCGACCTACTTGCATGGTTGAACAAAAAATTTCGCCATATTTTGACTTTTCAAAACTGGACTTGTATTTATATCAGAGGGGTGCTGTGTGCTGCATTTATGCATGTTTTGTGGTGGTAGCTTCATATCTTTATTACAACATTTGTGTGTTCTGCCTCTTGATCTTGATTGTTATTGTTTTTAAGATGGGGGGAATTATGGTGCTTTTGCTATTAATCATCACCCTACATGTGAACCTTGGCCACGACGATGCTAACATGACGATGAGGTGCACAGACAAGGAAAGGGAAGCACTCCTTGCATTCAAGCAAGGCCTCATCATGGACGAGCACAGCCAAGTAATATTCTCTTCGTGGGGAACAGAAGCCGCAAAACAAGATTGTTGCCGATGGGAAGGAGTCTCATGTGACAACCAAACTGGCCATGTTGTGCAGCTTGATCTCAGAGGCAATTACTATTTGCAAGGTACGATGATTAGTCCTAAACTGATTGAGTTGAAGCATTTGAAATATTTGAACCTTTCGAGGATTGACTTTGGTGGGAGCCAAGTTCCATATTTCATTGGTTCTCTAACCAATTTGAGATATCTCGATCTTTCTTGGTGTTCTTTGGGTGGAAAATTTCCAATTCAGGTTGGAAACCTTACCAACTTGCAGCACCTTGATCTCGGCTATATTGACTTCAGCGGTAATGTAGAAAATCTCGATTGGCTCCCTCGTCTTTCTTCGTTGACATATTTGGACTTGAGTGATAACAATCTCAGTAATGTTTTTTATTGGCCGGAAGCAGTTAATAAACTCCCCAAACTAACAACCTTGAGATTACAGAACTGTAGTCTTCCTTCTCCTCCAGTTCGTTCCACTCTTTCAAACATAAATTCTTCTAAATCTCTTTCTAGCATTGATCTTTCCTTGAACCGTCTCTCAACTTCTTCAATATTTCTGTGGATGTCCAACTACAGTACCAGCCTTGTTGATCTTTATCTCTTTTTCAACCAACTTGAAGGAGCAGAACCCCATTCTTTCTCTACGTTATGTAGTTTGCAATCATTGGATCTTTCCGGCAACAATTTGAGTGGACAGTTTTCCAGATTTGTTCCTACATGTGCTCAAAACTCCTTGGAGAGTTTGTGGCTCCATGGAAATCAATTAAGTGGAAGAATACCTGAAAGTATCGGACAAATGTCAAAGCTCGAGCATCTTAACCTTGGTATGAATGCTTTGGAAGGGGTGATTTCAGATTCCCATTTCTCTAAACTCTCCAAATTATCATATTTAGATTTGTCCTCCAACTCACTAGTTTTAAACTTCCAGTCTAATTAGACTCCTCCTTTTCAACTGGACTATATAAGTTTGGGGTCTTGCAAGATGGGTCCGTATTTTCCGAAATGGCTTCAAACTCAGAATGAGTATTCATTCCTCAATATTTCTAATGCCGGAATTGTGGATATCCTTCCAAGCTGGTTTTGGGGTACGACTCGTTACGTGACATCTATCGATCTTTCCCATAACCAAATTGGAGAAATGTTTACAAATTTGACAATGGATTTTGCAAAATACCCTGAAGTGCATTTGCGTTCGAATGAAATTGAAGGTCAAATTCCCGCAACTCTATCGCATGCGTCATATTTGGATCTCTCTAATAATAACATTTCAGGGTCGATTTCTTTCTTGTGTGCAAGTGAAACTCGTTTTCTTAATCTCTCATACAACAATCTCTCTGGAGAACTTCCAGAATGCATGACACGTTTGGGCAATCTCGTCATGCTTGATTTGAGTTCCAATGCTCTTTCGGGAAAAATTCCTTCGACGATAGGCTCCTTGTTTGGGATCGAGACACTGAAATTAAGAAGCAATGAGTTTGTGGGAGAGTTGCCTTTATCCTTGAAGAATTGCACAAGTTTAATGGTTCTTGATCTTGCAGATAACCAGTTGACGGGATCAATACCTAAATGGTTAGGGGCTAGCTTTCAGAAATTGGTTATCCTAATGCTTTCCTCTAACCACTTCAATGGAAGCTTGCCCCCGCAACTATGCGATCTAATATACATTCAAATTTTGGATGTCTCTGTGAACAACATCTCTGGAGGAATACCGAATTGCCTAAAAAAGTTGACTACTCTGGCTCAGAAGGGAAATTCAAGTCTAACCGTTGAACATTCTTACGAGAGATATGATAAACAAATATCCTGGTTGGATATTTATGTGGATGATGAAATCTTCACGTGGAAGGGAAGCATGCAGGTTTACAGGAATACTTTGGGGCTTGTGAGAAGTATTGATTTCTCAAGCAATAGATTGACCGGGGAGATTCCAAGCGAAATCAGTCATCTTGTTGGGTTGGTTTCTTTAAACCTTTCTAGAAACCAACTTACAGGTCAAATTACTCCGGACATTGGAAAATTGGAGTCCTTGGATTCACTTGATTTGTCAAGAAATCATATAGACGGAAGAATTCCAACAAGCCTTGCTCGGATAAGTCGTCTTGGTGTCTTGGACTTGTCACACAACAACTTGATTGGAAAGATTCCAACCGGCACCCAGCTCCAAGGTTTTGATCCCTCTGTTTATGCTGGAAATCCACAGCTCTGTGGACCTCCACTTCAAAAGCCATGTGATATCGAAGAAACGGGTCCAGATCAAGTTAGTACCGAAGAAGACAAGGATGATCAGCTTATACGCTACGGATTTTACATCAGCATGGGGCTCGGGTTTTTTGTTGGATTTTGGGGAGTTTGTGGAAGTCTGATATTCATCAGGGAATGGAGGTACGCATACTTCAAGTTCTTGAATTCGCTGAATGATTGGCTTTATGTGAGGGTAGTGTTGATCAAGCGGAAATTAACGGATGCTTAATAGATAAGCTGTAATGTGCGGTATGTAATCTCTCTCTCATCGATTCATCACGATTAATTTGGAATTTATGATCAATTGTCTTCTTCGAACTTACCGGTGCTTGTTTATTTTTATGAGTAGCTCCAGGCATCTTCTTCACTTGAGTTCAACTGCGTGGCTTCCATATCTGCATAAGCTGTCAAGTGTTAGATGCTGCTTAATTCCAGTTATAACGAGATTGCAGAAAAGTACTAGGAATATGTTTTCCTTGGTAAATGATTTGATACCGTGCCTTGTTTGTAAGAAAGATATTATTGTAAATTGATTTTTAGTTGTTTGCTTTTCTATTTAGTTTGTAAGATATAAAAGATTGTGTTACAGAAGATATTACTATTTGCATTGAAAACGTTTGGTACACTTTTACATACAAAAGATCATGAACATGCACAAAAGATTAGATAGATACATTCCACTAGGGAAGTTTCTGTCGTTTTTTTTTATCAATAACAATACTTTTACAAAAGATTACAAAATTTTTGAGTATTTACATGCAAAAAATATTAGGAAATGTCGATTCATTTACATTGACAAAAGTGTTCATTGAACTTGTGAATCAAAAGATAAAATTAATATTATATATGAGATTTAATTCCACCGCTGATTCTAACAACGGTTAGATGATGTTTGACGAACTAATTATTATTTTCTTCATCAGAAATAAAACACCAGGAATCCTATATGCTTTCCGTACACAAATTACAAGCTTCTGAACGACATCCTCCCTACCACTGTTTTTTACAACTTTCTATATTTTCTTTCCATTTTGTCAAAGTAATTCATATGCTCGAATCATATGACACACAAGAAATCCAATCAAATAAAACAATTCAAATACAATACATACTGCAAGCGAAATAAGACTGTCGACAACGATAACAAATGCAGAGAAAGCAGCAATTAAGGATTTACTTTTTTTTTCTTCTTTCAGTTTTGTTTTTTCTTATTGGTCATGCAAGTGGAGTTACTAGGTTCAGGTACCTTAAACTACCAATCTCGTTTCTTCCTGTCAAGAATTAGAAGATAAGATGTAACAATCATATTCTGACCAGAAATCTAAATGCCAAACAAAATTTCGTACAAAGCTGTGTTTAGTAATTTAATTTAACAGGTCAGATAACGAACATCCCATTGAAGGCCAAATTCGGATATTGGTCTGGACATGAAAGTAACTATTATCAAAGCTCTACTCAGAATTTCCCACAAGTATCCTAATAAGAACCTAACCTGTGAATAACACTCAATTGCGGTTCTGAAGTCCTTGTGCTTAAAAGCAGGATCCCCCTTTTTCTTTGATTCTAATGATTCCTGCATTTGGTCAGTCCACATTTGGAACGAGAGCTGCAGTGGAACGTAACTATTGGGAAGGCTAAATATGTATACAACACAGCTTATTTGATATTTCTCCATTAGTTAAACAAATATAGAACCTCATTTGTCATTCCATCATCTATATAGCCGATATTCTCTAGGATCTCATGTATACGAGTCAAATTCCTTCTTGAGCAGGCTTCACCGAGTGGTCAAAGAGAAGACCAGGAGGTACCGTGTGGGATACCCATCAAAACAAAAGAAGGAACCGGATATAGCTACCCGCATCATGTTAAGCATCTATATTTGATTAAACTACTACGATGGTGCAGATCTGATTGTTTCTAAATGGCACCCAAAAAGTATGGTATCAATGAAAACCCTTGTAGTTAACTACCCACAGTTTCGGGGCATAAGAGATTCATATTTTATAGAGTATCTTTCACCATGAAAGGCACTAAACAAAAGTGTAGCTCTCTCAAGTCCTCACTAATAACAAATTAGTGTCATGTCCCCTTCCCAAATTTTCAAATATTTCCGCTTGGTACAAGGTTCAGTATTACTACAAATAATAAATCAGTAGATCAGAGCTTACACAAATAGCTCAGATTGTGTCCAGTGAAAAGAAGATAACATATGACTATATTGCTTATAAGACTGCCCTAAAATATAGATCTACAAACAACTGTGTGAAGATTTTAAGCAGTCAAACTATGCTCCCTGAGTGAAGTTGGGAACAGAATGCTGCTTAATTAGAGAGACATAGGAGAGAGAACCAACCTCAGTTTCTTCCTGAAGAGGAGTCAAACAAGCAACTAATGACTTTGGATTTGGTAGCTCTCAGGGTTCAGATTGTAAACATCATGAAGCCAAGCGTGCCAACTCAGTACCATCATCATTAGAAAGCTGTCCTTCCAAGCAAGAATCTGTCAGCATCTGAAGATTCCTGTCTCGAATCAGGTCTAGGGCCTGGCACAAAATGATCAACCAACAGATGAATAAATTTACGTACTTGTGTTTACATATCCTAAGAACGATAAATCCTCACACAGAGTTCATAAGAATTGAAAGTAAACTATATTATATCGTAGGTAGAAGAGTAACCATTAGATCTTTAGAAGAGTTTCCCTAATTTATCTTTTCCTACAAATGGTTTTTTCTTTATTTTTGTTCAGTTCACCACTTGGACAATCACTTACATGGCTAGAGGGGATATGCTTTCTGCTGAGAAGATCAATCAAGAGAGTCCAAAGCTATATACTGCGCTTTCTGGTTTTACTCTCCCTGCAAGACAAGGGATGTGCGGTGTATAATATTTGCTGAACTGCATACTTAAAGGATGAATGTCAAGTAAATCATAAATTTGAATGAGTTATTTGGTGCAAAAACGCTGCTTTTTTTCCACAATCTACCTACCAGTCCTAATATGTTCAGGAGTAAATACCAGATTTGTACTATAACTCTTCCCATCCCAACTATTTTTCATCAGGCCAAAGGTGGATATTCTGGGATTGCCATCCTGAAAATTTATAATAAATAAAATAATAGAATACAATCAGAATATACTTTGGAAAGGATATCAAACAGATGGAGTCAAAATATAGCTATCTCATCGAATAAAATTCTGTAAGCATTAAGGTCGTGATAAAGCACATGCCCTTTACTTGTGCAGTATTCTAGAGCCAGTGCAAGATGTAACACAACCCTTAATCGCATTACCCATTTCGTAGGTTGCACATCCCCTGACAATTCAAGAAGGTAATAAAGTTATATTCCACAGAACATTAGCACGGTACTCATTAGCGGAAACATCCATGCAACTAACAAGATAATTAGCAAAATTCAAGAACATGTATAACTGAAACAAGACCACTCAGTTGTCAACGTGAACAGATGCTATAAACAAAAGAGAATACTAACAAAAGGGGGAGGCAGTAACAACCCCTCAACCGTTGTCTCAATGTAGATCCTCACACCAACATCTCTTAAGTAATATCTGGAGATGACGGAATTCAGGGTGAAGAAGTGATAAATTATACCAGAAGAAGGACATTTATATCTTGAAGTTTTGATATAACATGGCCCTAATTTATTAAATAAATGTGATGCTTAATATGCCAATATATCCCTTCCGAATGAAAACCCCATATTTAAATCATCGGTGAGACAAAGTGAAACTATTAAGCAGAGGCAATTGCAACACTAAATGGATCCAGTATCCGACCATTAAAAAATGAGTACAACATAGATCAGTAACCAAAAACCTCGTATTAGTATGGGTAAGCCTTACAATGGAAAAGATATGATGCAAGTGCTTCATTGGGCATATATTCCGCCACAAGCAACCTCTCATCACCTTCACAACAACAACCGAGCAAGTTGACCAATCTATGGTTGCGGAGCTGACCAACTAATCTTGCTTCCTCCTGCTGTTGGGTAAAAAAAAAATCATTTCACAATAGTGGTTGTAAATAGAGAAGACAGAAAATGACGTGCTTCCTCTGATGGAGCTCATAAAACATTTGATGAGGAATCGTATGGTTATGCAAATAAAACAGCAATTAAGGATTTACTAAGTTGTTTTTGGGTTTTGTTCTTTTTATTGGTTATGCAAGTAGAGTTACTAGGTTCACGTACTCTAAGGTACCTTAAACTACCAATTTTTGCAAAACCCGTCGTTCCTAACTGATTAAAAATGCTCCTCTCTACATTCAGGGAAGAAAAAAGAAAGTGGTCAATAATCTACACAGCATAGCAGTCCAAGAGCATTCCTAAATCACATTTTCTCCAGGTTTTTAGAATAGCAACTTTGACTTCGTCATAAACAATCAAATCTAAATGATAGAAAGATCGCTTTGGGTGTCTTAAGCAATCAAATACCAAAACATTTGTAATTACTGAGTGGTAACTATACAAGCAGAGAAAACTACTCAAAATCTCACCCACATTATCATTTTGCTAAAAAGACATGAACAAAATCGATGAAAAGCGAAAACAAAATATACCAAACTATTCCAGTTACACAACCCACATTCCTTCTACAACTAACAATTGTAAATCCAAGCCGAAATGGAAAGACCCCAAAATTTGTGAGCTTAAATTGCACACCTGAGAAATTAAATTGTGAACCCAAAGATTAATTTTTCATTTTCTCGCTACCCTTTTGGTAACAAGATCAGAAGTTCGATTTCTGAAGATGAAAATGCGGGAAGAAGAAGGAGCTTACGGGGTCGAAAGCGTTGGGCTCGGAGCCGTAATCAGCAGTCAAGAGGAAATAGGCAGCAGCGACAGTGGCCGCCATGGTCGTCCTCCTCACCAGCCTTTCGGTTTTTGAGTTAATCGTGTGATGCTTTTGCTTTCGCTTGGATTCTCTGTTAAGAATATAATAATAATAATAATAATAATAATTTACTAGATGAAAATATCAAAAGTTTAAAAAAGGGGAAGTCAGAGAAAAATGTTTAAAAAAAATAAAAAAATTAGAGATGTTATGGTGACTTGTGAGTGAGGTTTCTTCAAAATTACATTCTGCTCTTTTAATTGAATTGTGCGAAATTAGAGATTCTATTCTATGATTGAAGGTTAAATTGTCTGTTTATTCTCTTTTAATTGATAAAGAGAATTTGTGAATAAGTAGTTAAGATTTTACTTTATATTTTTCTAATTTTCTCTTAATTTTGTTTGATAATTTATTTTGCTAAAAGATATTTATATGAGTAATGTTACACTTACCACCTAGTTGTACTAGCTTTCTAATATAAATAGGGCTCACAAACGCATGAGGGTCTCATTTCTATTAAAGAAATAATACAAATGATGGTGCAAATAGATGATAAAAGTAGCATTTTTTAATTCATGGCTTGTGCATGACCCATTTGTTCTATTTAAGTCCAAAAATGAAGAAAATTAGTCATTTTTGTAATCCCAAGAAAAAGGGCCACAACACACAGAAGATAAAGGCCCAAGACCAACATTGGAGCCCAACACATGCAAACAAACCACACAGAAAACCCTAGACAACTATGCTTCTTTAAGTTGCATACGACGCCGACGCCGACGCCGCCAGACAATAACATCACGATCGTCACGATCGACCACCCTCCATGATCATTTGAGATTAGACCATCAAGAAACCTAGAATTGGTGAAGACGAAGGTCGCATCATCCTCCAAAGACCAACACCAGTATAGCCGCCATGAGATCAAAGAAGCACGAAGGTAGAAAAAACCCACAAGCAACATCACCGACTAGGGCGAGCAACGAAAGTCAAGGACCAACAAGGGTGGTGGTGCGGACACCCGAACTAAAGCTCTACATTTCTAAAGATTTCATTTATCTTTAAAAAGATAAAATAAATGTTGCCTTCGTAAATGAAAAGATTTAGGTGCCCTTAGTAGCTTTGCATTTAAAAATCTTGTCTAAATAATGATTTTGATGGAAATGTTTGTTAGTAATGAATGAGATATTTAATGTTTTCGGTTGCAAAATTATAATATTTGAACTTTTTTTTTCTTTTGAACAATCATATTATCTACACTAAAAGAGAGAGGGGCGGGCTTATCCTCACTATAAGCTAGTAATAATGTAGTTCAAACTAATATTTAGCGAGAATCAAATTTAAGACATCTCATTTATAAATGAAGAATATCAATATGTCATAGTACTAAGTAGCACTGTCAAAAGATGAGAAACGGAATAGTTGGACTCTAGGCAAAAGAAGATGACAAATGGGCTAGGAATAAAGTGCCCAAGTTAAAGGGGCATGCTGCTCACGTGTGAAAGCAAAAGCAGAGGAGGATCCTTCACTCCTTGCAATTGACGCATAAAAAATAAGAGGACATCGCCAAATAGGAATTCAGTGGGATTATTCCATGTCCTGATTTCTCTCGTGGGATTTGAAAACAATTATGTTATAAAAAAGGTTAGTTTTCAATCTTTAGAATTCTCTGTTTAATTTCGTTTATGGAGAAATAATCTCTCTAGCTAAGGCTAAAGAGAAAACCTTTACTACGATTATGTAGTTTATTATTACTTTGATTCTATTTAGGAGTTTCAATGTCAGTTATACATTGTGGATGTTCAATAGAATTACTGATTTATTCTATTTTTCAAATTGATGAATGTTAGTTATGATTTATAGGTTCAATCATATTTTTCCTATAGCTTTGTTTCACATTCATACTTTTTAGTTATGATTCACTGCAACACTAAATGGATCCAGTATCCAACCATTAAAAAATGAGTACAACATAGATCAGTAACCAAAAACCTCGTATTAGTATGGGTAAGCCTTACAATGGAAAAGATGTGATGCAAGTGCTTCATTGGGCATATATTCCGCCACAAGCAACCTCTCATCACCTTCACAACAACAACCGAGCAAGTTGACCAATCTATGGCTGCGGAGCTGACCAACTAATCTTGCTTCCTCCTGCCGTTGGGCCAAAAGAAAATCATTTCACAATAGTGGTTGTAAATAGAGAAGACAGAAAATGACGTGCTTCCTTTGATGGAGCTGATAAAACATTTGATGAGAATCGTATGGTTCCAAAATAAATGTAAATTTCAGTCATAGAGAAACACAGCTCTGCATTTCGTGAATTCTATATGCCAAAAGTTACCTATTACCCGAATTTTAAACCACATAAGATCTCAACAGATAGTTACGTTAGTGTAAAACACAAAGATAAAAACAATAGTTCTGCAGAAAATGCAGGCCAGTTTTCGTCACCACAGTATCTGAATAATATCTTTCTGAGATAGAAAAGTACCAAGTTAAAGGATGCCTACCAAAAATTGCCGAGCATTCAGGCCAGGCCATCCTATTGAAGCGCTTAACAGCAATTCTCTTCTGATTTTCGGGTTTCCCTTTATAATCAACATTTGGAGCCTTGTCTACTTGCTCAGACACAGTGTACTCGACAGCAAAACCTGATGTCGCATTTTTAATTTGCTCAAATGTGAATTCACAAAATGCAGGCAAGTTATCAACCTTGCTCTTCTCCTCATCATCTGTATAACAGGTAAACCATCCACAAGCATCAGATATGATCTGTTTCTCCATCAAACCATAAAACCCCAGAACAAAAGAAACATAGATATTAACCCAACAATGTCGGGAGCTTCGAGAACCGCTGCCTTCATTTGTGAATTCAAGCAACATGCTATGAGTTTGGAGCATTGAACCCCCACCTCAATGTCACTCACGTATCAACTTGAGCTGCAAATCCCCTTTTCAATCTCTGCCTCTAAACAAAACCAACCCAACTAAATTCAGATTCCTCTGACTTCACACCGACTAAACTTCAAAACCTCCTGAAAATTTATCAAAATAGAAATTATCTACTGAATCTCATTTCCTTATAATCACAATACCAATAAATAAAACTCCACTATAAACTTATCAAGAAAACATTATGATTACATCCGCCATTAGCATTTTCTCTCTATCCAATAAACTAGTACTAGATAATAACGCAAAGAACCAGAAACAACTTTAAAAGTTCTTTCTGTACCTCAACCAACTTGGGGAAGCTGAAATCACCAAAACCCAAAACCCACTAAAGCAAAAGCTTCACAGCTGACCATAAAAGCAATAAGCACCAAAAACCGAATAAGCACTTTTTCAGTTGGCCCAGAAAAAAAATAAAGAAATGTAAAACCTTTCAGCTGCTTCTCCAATGCTCATACCCTTTTTTTCTGGGTTTCTTTCACTCTACGTCTTTCTCTTCCCTTTCTTGGTCAGATCAAAACCCTCACAAGATCCAACCTTTTTGCCTTACAAACCACAGAATTGAATTCTAAACAAAACCCAAATCGAAAAAAAATTAGAGAAAAAGAATGTAATAGTTGAAAAAATAGCTCAAAAATCCGTATAGAACAAGAAGAGGGGAAAAGGCTCTCCCTGTGATGGTAACGGTGTTTGTTTTTATTTATTTGCTTATCATTTATAGATAAACAAATCTACCATTAATCTATTAAAAACATCCCAGGAGTCGAGGATTATTAAACTAAGTAACAATAAAATCATATGCTATCCTTACGGTGCCGTTTCTATATGAAACTAATAAGTTGCCCCTGGGCACGATTTAGTATTTAATCTCGATTTATCCTTAAAATTACCATAAAAATAAAAGAAAATACAGAATGTTTTGATACAAATCATGATTGAGCATCTTTGTAGAGTTGGTGAAGATATGAATCTTTTGGGCACAAAATGTACATATTCGAATCCATGAACCCATGAGAATAATGTCCATCTTCAACGATGCGCTACATGTAAAAAGTTAAAAACAGAAACTGAAATGAGATTCTAACACCCAAAGTCCCAAGTTCGATTCCCCACTCTCCAATATCACTTAGTGCGAAAAAGTTGTTCATAAAGATGAAGGAACCCAATGAATGTGATTTTACTTAACTATATCGACACGGTGTTAGTTAAGCACCATATTAACTCAAATTAAATCATAGGCAGAAAATTACACCGTTTAATTGGATTTGACCTACTCGAGACAAAAAATTGCAAACTTACCTTTTCCTGGGACGGTATACCTACATATACACAGCCTCCACCTTTGCTTGTACATGAACTGCACCTGCTTCCCTAACAACCACCAGACACTATATAAGAATTGAGAAATATATTTCTACACAAACGATAACCTTAACAGGCTCCATATGAATCTCCCATAAAAGAGCAAAAAGCACTAAAGCAAAGAGAAACAGGCACAAAGGCAGTGTAAGCTCACCTTGTATTAGAAATTTCGACTGATGTCATTAGAATCCCTTACCGTCTCTCTGTGATCCCAATCAACATTAGACTGAAAGCCACTATTTCTTTGACGGATTGGACGCTTTTTCAAACTCCCTCTAAGTTTATCCCACTTTCAGTTTGGGACACAAAGACCAACTCTTACCATTGGGTTTTCCAAATCAAAGGTCCAGAGTTTCTTTACAATTGTTTATATATGTTATAGAGTACAATATATATAATTTGCAATCAAAGTTAAGTACCAAAACGTGTGAGAGATAAGTGAGTACTAGGTTTGCGAGCATTGACAACAATGACGAGTGAGGGTTGGACAGGAGTGGGATGGAAATTGTGAGTGTAAGAAGGCAAGTTCGAAAAGAAACCGTCAAAACTTAATCAGAATCCTAGTCATCAAAACGCTCTTAAAGATACAAACAAACAAACAGACTCTTAATATGCCACTTTCTTGCATTCTGCAACATGTAACAAAATTCAACCAGTGCCTGTAATTCAGTACAGAAAACGGCCAAATATTTTGTAGGTTCACAAATGCAAGTGCCAGTACAATAGCACTAACCCTTCTTAGTTTTCGAGACCGCAATCCTCCTAACTCAACTTAACAAGCAACACTCTAATTCTTTCTTAGCCAAAACGAGGCTGAAAATCGTCAAACTCATAACCGCCATAGAAAACAACTCCACATTCTCATCTCCAAACTGAATTTCCAATTCCCACCAAACTTTCCGAGCATCCAAACAGAGCATAGCCAGACCCAATACATGCAGAATTCGATACGATTCGATATTACCCAGATGAGGGTATTCAAGGGACATTACATCCACATTTCAATGCAATCAACAGAACCCTAAACAGAAAAATAAAAAAATCTCTATCAATAACCAGAATCAAAATTTACTTTTTCCAGAACACGGTGGTTGAATTTGCCTCCTTGTAAGTACATGATTAATTGGTCAATTTCTGTATCCAAAATTACATTCTCTCTTTGGATGTCAATCATCTACAACGCCGGGACTTCAGAGATCAAATGCCTGCACCTGAGGCAGCTTGGCGAAGCTGAAATCGACAGAAACAGCCCGACCTAGATTCCAAAAACCCAAAACCCCGAAATTAAAAGCTTCCCTATTGAACCAAATTAATAACCTTTTACTGGGTCCTTTCCCTCTCTGCGTCTTGAGCCAATCCAACACTCAAAACTTGGATGTGTCTGCGAATAACATCTCTGGAACAATACCAAAATGCCTCAGCAATTTTACTGGCACAGATGGGAAACTCATCTCCGACCCTTCAACATTCGTACCTAAGAGATGATACTTTCTCTGCGGTTAATTATATGGATGATGCAACATTTATATGGAAGGGAAGAATGTACTCGTACAAAAACACTTTGGGACTTGTGAAGAGAATTGATTTCTCAGGCAATAGATTAACGGGGGAGATTCCAAGTGAAGTCACGGATCTTGTTGGGTTAGTTTCTTTAAACCTGTCGAGAAACGGATTGACAGGTGAGTTACCTGCAAATATTGGAAAGTTGCAATCATTGGATGCACTTGATTTGTCAAGAAACCAGATAGATGGCAGAATTCCAACAAGCCTTGCTCAGATATATGGTCTTAGTGTCTTGGACTTGTCATACAACAACTTTATTGGCAAAATTCCAACTGGCACTCAGCTCCAAAGTTTTGAACCCTCTGATTATGCTGGAAATCCTCAGCTGTGCGGACCTCCACTTCCAAAGATGTGTGGTGATCAACAGGAAACTCTGATCTTGTGCAACGAAGAAGAAAGGATGAGCCTATAACATGGGGATTTTATATCAGCATGGCACTTGTCTTTATTGTTGGATTTTGGGGAGTTTGTGGCAGTCTGATTTTTGCAAGGCCATGGAGATACTCGTACTTCATGTTCTTGAATGTCTTGAAAGATTGGTTTTATGTGAGGGTGATTTCCATCAAGCAGCACTTCAATTAAGCAATGGTATGTAAATGTGATTTTATTTGTCTTTCTTAAATGTAAGCGATATGCATGCATCTATTTGTAAAGTCTTTCGGATTAATTTCACTGTCTTCTTCAAAACTTAATTGCATGTACTTGTTTATTTTTATCTACAGCGTCTTCTGAGACAGTGTAGACGGCTTCACTTCACTGAAAGAGCTTTCACGGACCATTATCTGTACAAGTTTTCAAAGTATTGAGTTATCATGATAAAGAACTTTACTACTAAATCTCCTTGGCAGATGATTTGTTAGTGTTAATTGTTTGTAAGAAGTTTACTGCTACATTTACTTTATCAAGACCTTTCTGCAGTATATGTTTTGATTCATGATATAAACTAAAGAAATTCAATTAATTCTGGATTGCATATGATTGTTTTGTTCGTCGTAAATTTTAGTTCAATGGATTGGTTGCAGTCTTGTGTGTATGTCTATCAATGATCAGATGACGTTTAACAAAGTAATTATTATTATTATTATTATTCAGAAATAATACACCAGGAATCCTATATGCTTTCTGTACACAAATTACAAGCTTCTGAATGACATCATCCCTACCAGTGTTTTTTACAACTTTCTATTTGTCCTTCTATTTTGTCAAAGTAATTCATATACTCGAACCATTTGATGCACGGGAAATCAAATCAAATAAAACAATTCAAATACAATATATACTGCTGGAAGATGACAAAATCTAATACCGTGGAAATGATGAAGCTTTGGCCCCAGTGGTTTTAAACCTTATGATCGACGACTATATAAGCTGAGAGCCAAACCGAGAGAAGTGGCAAACTAGGCACCTTGTTGACCGGCCTAGATATTCACTTCTGTCCAGCTGCTTTGCTCCTTTAGGATTCAAGCATAGTACCCTCCTTAAGTGCTGCTTGAGCTTCACCATCCATTCCAAGGGCCGAAAGGGCAACAGCCTGAAGATAACATGCAAGTGCCAAACTGGGGAAACTACTTGTGCTTGCATTGCATCGTTTATAGCTTCCTGAGGCATGTCACTCATGAGATAAGACAAACTACGCCGGGCAAAAGTTGTTGGAGAAACAATCGTTTTGACATCAACGAACTGCATGCGAAATAAAACTGTAAGCAACGATAACAAATGCAGATAAAACAGCAATCAAGGATTTACTAAGCTTTTTCTTCCGGTTTTGTTCTTTTTGTTGGTAACTCCGCCTATGTATCTTACATTGCCGGTCCCAAGCCCGGATAAAGGAGGAGGGGGAGGGCGTCAGGTAGTCGACAGCCGGCACTCCATGATCACGTCGAATCCTTATGAAAATGAATCCAGAACAAAATCGCGCTAAAGCTAGGGCGTCACCCGTAAGTGGCGCGCTGTGTGGCCCGAGCACAGTGATAAATGAGCAAGGGTCGCTGTATCTCCATCGGCACCCGGATGCAGTGTTAAATGAGCAAGGGGGCCATAGAAACTTCTTTTCGAACGACTCCACTCAAAGTTGTTTGGGAGCATATGCTCCTATCAACTTTACACGGGACACACAAAAGAAGTACTTTGATCCTATTAGACGGGGGAGGGTGAAGAAGCTAGGACAGAAGGGTAGAGTTCAAGAGAGCAAAATGCGTTTAGGAACGTGGAATATAGGAACCTTAACGGGAAAATCTATGGATGTAGTGGAAGTTATGGTGAGGAGAAGGATAAATATTATGTGCCTACAAGAAACTAAGTGGGTTGGTAGTAAGGCAAAGGATCTAGAAAACTCAGGGTTTAAACTTTGGTATTCGGGCACAAATAGAACGAGAAACGGTGTTGGCATCATCGTGGACAAGACCTTGACACAAGATGTTGTAGATGTCAAGAAGGTAGGAGATAGAATCATGGCAATCAAGATTGTAATAGGACAAGAACTTATCAATGTGATTAGTGCGTACGCACCTCAAGTAGGGTTGGATACCAGTTCGAAGGAGAAATTTTGGGAAGACCTTGGAGACTTGGTGCAAGGAATTGCTCAGACGGAGAAGTTACTTATAGGAGGAGATTTAAATGGACACGTGGGCAGGGAGACAGGCAACTATGGAGGTTTCCATGGTGGCCATGGTTTTGGGGAGAGAAACGAGGATGGGGAAGCTATCTTGGATTTTGCAATGGCATATGATTTTTTCTTAGCCAACACCTTCTTTAAGAAGAGAGAAGAACATGTGATCACCTACAAGAGTGGGTCGTCAAAAACACAAATAGATTTTCTCCTAATGAGGAAAGGGGATCGTATAACTTGTAAGGATTGCAAAGTTATACCAGGAGAGAGCGTGGCTAATCAACATCGCTTGTTGGTGATGGATGTACATATCAAAAGAGAGACAAAAGAACAAGACTTGGAAGTGCCCAATGACTAGATGGTGGAATCTAAAAGAAGAAAAACAAGCCATTTTCAAAGAGAAAGTAATCACCCAGTGTGTGTGGGATAAAGAGAGGGAAGCTAGCCAAATGTGGGATTCTATGGCTAGTTGTATTCGAAAAGTAGCAAAAGAGGTATTAGGAGAGTCCAAAGGTTTTACCCCACACCAAAAGGAATCTTGGTGGTGGAATGAGGAGGTACAAACAAAGGTGAAGGCTAAGAAGGAATGTTGTAAAGCCTTATACAAGGATAGGACCGATGAAAATGGTGAAAGGTATAGAAAAGCGAAGCAAGAAGCGAAGAAAGCTGTGAGAGAAGCTAAGTTAGCGGCTTATGACGATATGTATAAGCGACTAGATACCAAAGAAGGAGAGTTGGATATCTATAAATTAGCTAGAGCAAGGGAAAAGAAGACAAAGGACCTAAACCAAGTGAGGTGCATCAAGGATGCGGATGGAAAGGTTCTTGCTACAGAGAACGCGGTTAAAGACAGATGGAAAGGTTATTTTCATAATCTTTTCAATGAAGGACATGAAAGGAGTGCTTCTTTAGGGGAGTTGAGTAACTCAGAAGAGTGTAGAAACTACTCTTTTTATCGTAGAATCCGGAAGGAAGAAGTGGTTGTAGCTTTGAAGAAGATGAAGCATAGAAAAGCAGTAGGCCCAGACGATATACCAATCGAAGTGTGGAAAGTTTTGGGAGAGACAGGTATAACATGGCTCACTGACCTTTTCAATAGGATTTTGAAAACGAAGAAGATGCCAAATGAGTGGCGAAGATGAGTGTAGCGGAGATGAGGATGCTTCGTTGGATGTGTGGGCACACGAGAAAGGATAAGATTAAGAATGAGGATATCCGGGGTAAAGTAGGAGTAGCCGAAATTGAAGGCAAGATGAGAGAAAATCGGTTACGGTGGTTTGGACATGTGCAACGAAGGCCCACTGACGCACCGATTAGAAGATGCGACTATGGGACAGAGGTTCAAGGCCGAAGGGGTAGAGGAAGACCTAGGAAAACTTTGGAAGAGACTCTAAGAAAAGACTTAGAGTACTTGGATCTAACGAAGGACATGACACAGGACCGAGCACAATGGCGTTCTGAGATTCATATAGCCGATCCCACTCAGTGACTTGGATTTTCCAAGTCTCCAACCGAGAAGTTTTCCTCACTCGGGAAATTAAGGGAACACTACCCCAACCTACATGCTTCACTCAGAAAGCTTCAACATACAAGCTTCAACAAAAGAAAATTCAAAGAACTTAGCGAAGAAGGTTTTGGTGTATTTAACACAATACGTTGAAATGAAGGAAAACTTATTTATTGATATCCCCGACAAGCTACAAATATGTACATATACATGAGTCAAAATAAACAAACAAGAGGGAGCCTTCACAAGGGTTGCTTAGGAGAAGTCTCAGCAGTCGGTAGAGCCCCAGAAAGAGAAGACACCGGAGGGAGATCATTCAGAGCCTCAGTACTGGACAGAACCCTAGAAGGAGGAGGCATCAGAGGTTGATCATTTGGAGCTTCATTACGCGGTACAGCCCCAGAAGACGAAGGCAATAAATGCCTTTCGAACAAACCCACAAATCTCTGATGATCAAGTAAAACCTGACCATCAGTTTCCTTCATCTGGTCAAGCTTCCTCTTCATGTTTGTAGCATAGTCATGTGCGAGCCGGTGCAACTGTTTATTCTCATGCTTGAGCCCTCTAATCTCCTGTTTGAGACTCATCACCTCAGCCGCCAATGATTCAACTTGGCGGGTTCGAGCAAATAGGCGTTGGGCCATATTAGACACAGAACCTGCACACTGAACACTAAGAGCCAGCGAATCCTTAACAGCTAACTCATCAGACCGTTTGGAAAGTAGTCTGTTATCTTTGGGAGTGAGAAGGTTCCTGGCCACCACCGCAGCAGTCATATCATTCTTCATCACAGAATCCCCAACGGTAAGAGGACCAGTAGGGGAGACGAATGATGGGCGCCATATGTTGTATGGAGAAGGCAGGGCTGCCTCTTCAACAAGGTTCAAGTCAAAACGACGGTCGGATGGGCCATACATTTTCAAAGGTGTTGAAGAGAGAAGAGGTTGGACAAATCAAGATCTTAGAAGTGCAAGAATGGAGCTTCTACTGGTGGAGATTCAAGTGTGCTTTGGAACTTAATGCCAGCCCCTATAAAAATCTGCACTCGACGGAGCTTCAGAAACCGAAGAGGCGCCTGCTCAGAAATCGAAGAGGCGTTTGCTTTCTCAAAAGCTGGGCTGCTTAGAGACCACGAGGGTTGATATCAGAAATCGAAGAGGCGTTTGATTTCTCAAAAGTTAGGCTGCTCAAAGACCACGAAGGCCGATCCCAGAAATCGAAGAGGCGCTCTCGCTTTCTCAAAAGCTGGGCTCCTCAGAGACCACGAGGGCCGATCTCTCAAAAATCAAAGAGGCACCTACTTTTCCAGCCTTTGTCAGCCTTGTCAGCACCTGTCACACGCACACTCAGCTTTGCGGAAATTATGGGCATTCTGTCGAAGACTTCTGAGGAAGTAGAAAACACATGAATCTTACTGTTCAATCACCCACTTCCCACACGCAACAATAGCTCATGGGTACCACATATAACTTTGCCAAAGTTCTCTGCCAAAATTGAGCACGTAAAGCTTGCAGCTCCCACTATATCGCTCTGACCAAGAAAGGTAAAAGAATAGCAAAGAAACAGCACTAACAAAGTTTAGACCCATAAATTTTGAAGGTCTAGCTACCATATTATTACCCACAAGGGTAAAGGAACAGTACCACTGCTGGATAATTGGAAAGTCCCTGTGTGTCAACCTCTGTGCTTCGTGGCAAGGTAGACTAGCAAACATGCCCAACCTTTACTCACACTCGAGAAAACACTACCAATAAGATTGCTTGCTCCAAAATCGAAGAGGCACCGTCCTCTGAATCTCGAGAGCCAGACTCCCAACATGACTACTTTCTCAAAAATCGAAGAGAGGGTAAAGGAACAGTACCATTGCTGGATAATTGGAAAATCCCTGTGTGTCAACCTCTGTGCTTCGTGGCAAGGTAGACTAGCAAACATGCCCAACCTTTACTCACTTTCGAGAAAACACTCCCAACAAGATTGCTTGCTCCAAAATCGAAGAGGCACCGCCCTCCGAATCTCAAGAGCCAGACTCCCAACATGATTACTTTCTCAAAAATCGAAGTGACACTGCTCCCCGAATCTCGAGAGCCAGACCCCCAGCATGATTGCTTTCTTAAAAATCGAAGATGCATCGTTCTCCGAATCAATCGAAGAGACGCTCGCTTTCTCAAAAGCTGGGCTGCTCAGAGACCACGAGGGCCGATCTCAGAAATCGAAGAGGCACCTACTTTTCTAGCCTTGTCAGCACCTGTCATACGCACACTCAGCTTTGCGGAAATTATGGGCATTCTGTCGAAGACTTCTCGAGAGCCAGATACCACAGACCACTTTTTCAAAGTGCTCTGACATAGTTAAAACATGTGAAGTTGGCAGCTCCCACTACCGTGCTATGACCAAGCAGGGTAAAGGAATAGCATTACTACTTGTTGTTAGGGAGACTCCTATATATGTCGACCTCCATCCCCAACGGACAGGCAGACCTGCAAAAATGCTCAACCCTTCCTCATATCTGAGAGGGCACTCCCAACGAAGCCTTTCGAAATATTCAGCTTTCTTTCCCCCCGATAATACCTCTGCAAACAAGCTATACTAGAGCAAGAATATCTCATATCATCAGGGTTAAAAGCAAGAGTATCCCATATCATGCTTTTTCCCTGTCTTTTCCTTTGGCCTTGTTTTTGCCTGCAAGACAAGGAGAAAGAGAGCAATCAGTCACTTGGAATCAAGCTTCCAACCAGGAACTGACTGCCTGGAACCCCTTACCTGATTACTTACCTGGCATTGCTCTCGAGTACTCATCTTCAACATCTTATGTTTCCAGGGAAGATACCGCATCTGCTTGAGGAACAGATAGGGCAAGTGCGAAGGATACAAGGAAGCATGTGAAGACAAGCGTAACAACATACGTGCCGATACATCCATTACTCTGTCAAAAGCAAAAGTATCCCATATCAGCAGGGTCGAACGTACTCTAGATTTGATGGACTTGTTTTGACCCTCAAATTCTTCAGTCGGCTCTGGAGGAAACCAGAAAACCCTCCAGCTCAGTTCAAGAATAAGCCTGTGGAAAGTTACTTCTTCAAAAGTAAAAGTATCCCATATCATCTCTTCTCATTTTTCTTCTCTTTATCCTTCATGCTGCTGCAAGATGGGGAGAAGGTGAATAATCAGCCGGAGCTCTGATTGCTTACCTTGTTTGTCACCTCTTTCAGCAGATCCCCTAGCTCGGCGACTTGGGGGACTCCTACTACATGGTTTGTATCGCGCTTGACCAAGCCTGAAACTACAAGTAAGCTTCAAGTGAAATTGATACATTACCTTGTGCATCTCCACCAGTTAAAGATACCACCCCTGGATGGAGGAAGAGTACTTCCAGAGAAGATGCCACATCTACCTATGAGACAGATAAGGCAAGTCAAGACGATACCACACTCCGATACTTAGAAGTTTCGTGATTACGAGATCATTCTCTCACAATATTTCCTAATGTCATTTGTACTAAATCATTCACTTGTACTCACTAAAGGAGAGCTTGAACCTATGTACTTGTGTAAACCCTTCACAATTAATGAGAACTCTTCTATTCCGTGGACGTAGCCAATCTGGGTGAACCACGTACATCTTGTGTTTGCTTTCCTATCTCTTATTTATATACTTATCCACACTAATGACCGGAGCAATCTAGCGAAGATCACAAAAAGCGACCGTTTTTGCTGCCTAGGATCTATCTTGCAAGAGAACGGAGAATTAGATGGTGATCTCAACCATAGAATACGAGCTGGATGGATGAAGTGTAAGAGTGCATCCGGCGTGTTATGTGACCGTCGTAGGCCATTGAAGCTTAAAGGAAAATTTTATAGGACGACAATGAGGCCAACGATGTTGTATGGCACAGAATGTTGGACGGTGAAGCATCAACACGTACACAAAATGGGTGTAGCGGAGATGAGGATGCTTCATGGGATGTGTGGGCACACGAGAAATGATAAGATTGGGCATGAGGATATCCGAGGTAAAGTAGGAGTAGCCGAAATTGAAGGAAAGATGAGAGAAAATCGGTTCCGGTGATTTGGACATGGGCAAAGAAGGCCGACTGACGCTCCGGTTCGAAGATGTGACTACGGGACAGAGGTTCAGGGCCGAAGGGGTAGAGGAAGACCTAGGAAAACTTTGGAAGAGACTCTAAGAAAAGACTTCGAGTACTTGGATCTAACGGAGGACATGACACAAAACCGAGCGCAATGGCGTTCTAGGATTCATATAGCCGACCCCACTTAGTGGGAAAAGGCTTTGTTGTTGTTGTTGTTGTTGTTGTTGTTGTTGTTGTTGTTGTTGTTCTTTTTGTTGGTCATGCAAGTAGAGTTACCTGGTTCAGGAACTCTAAGGTACCTTAAACTACCAATTTTCGCAAAGCACGTCGTTCCTAAATGATTAAAAATGCTTCTCTATACATTCAGAGAAGAAAAGAGAAAGTGCTCAATTATCTACAAAGCATAGCAGTCCAAAAGCATTCCTATATCACATTTTCTCCAGCTTTCTACAATCGCAACTTTGGCTTCGTCGTAAACAATCCAATCTAAGTGATAGAAAGATCGCTTTGGGTGTCTTGAGCAATCAAATACCAAAACATTTGTAATTACAGAGTGGTAACTACACTAGAAGAGTAAACCACCCAAAATCTCGCACACATTATCATTTTGCTAAAAAGACAAGAACAAAATCGACAAAAAGCGAAAACAAAACATTCCCAACTAGTCCAGTTACACAACCCACCTTCATTCTACAACTAACAATTGTAAATCAAACCCGAAATGGAAAGACCCCCAAATTTGTGAGCTCAAATTGCACACATGAGAAATTAAATTGTGAACCCAAATATTAATATTTCATTTTCTCGCTACCCTTTTCGTAACAGGATCAAAGTTTGAATTCTGAAGATGAAATTGCGGGAAGAAAAAGGAACTTACAGGGTTAAGAGCGTTGGGCTCGGAGCCGTAATCAGCAGTCAAGAGGAAATAGGCAGCAGTGCAGTGGCTACCACGGTCGTCCTCCTCACCAGCCTTTCGCTTTTTGAGTTAATCGCCATGCTTTTGCTTTCGCTTGGATTCTCTGGAAAGAAAAAGGGTTTAAAGATGGAGACTTTTGAGGGTTGGTTTTAGAGAAAGTGATGAAGTTTTAAGTGAGGGCTTTTCATTGTTGGGAGGGGAAGAAAGCACAAGATGGAATTGGAAGAAAATGGAGTTTTTACAAAACCATTTCCACTTTACTTTTAACGAAAAATCATATTTTTACCTTTAACTATCATTATTTATTATATCTTTAAAAATAACTTTTCGCTAAAAGAAATTTTTTTTGAATTTTTCGTTAGTTTTTCTAGATTGATTCTCTTCAAATATAAAAGTTAAAAAAATATATATAATATATGAAAAGGAGAGAAGTGGGAGAGAAATGATTTTTTTTATTTTTTTAAAATTAAAATGCAATGATGAGGAGGTTATAAAAATAATTTGAGAACTGTTATTATTATTTTAAAATTTTCATTTGTACTTTTGATAAGTAGGGGTGCAACATGAGTTAGATCATACCCAACCTGATTTCAAACCCAATTGAGAGGGTTAGAATGAAGGAAAAACTCGTCTAAACCCAACCCAATCTCAACCCGATTAATATTGGGTAGGGGTGGGTTCGGTTCCTTTTTGTTTGGGTTTTTGCCAAAACTGTAGTTACTATTCGATTCGATTTTTTTTTTATTTTTTTAATTCGGTTTGATTTGGTTCGGTTTTTTATATATATATTTTTTCAATAAGTACTAACAGTGTTGCATGGTACATTACATCACTAATGTATGCATTGTTGAAACTTCAAAGAGAGGGCAGATGCATATTTATTCCATTACCAAAAATAAGGGAAGATGCATATATTCCAGTACCAAATAAAACAACTGGGCAAAAGCCTTATTCAATTGTAAGGCACTGACCTCAAATAATTATAATGCAAAAACTGAATTCTAATAATTATATGCAATGGGAAATTAACATAGAATCCATTTCATACCGGGTCTTAGTTAAGTAATTGGCTCCTGCCAAAATCCATTTCATCACTTGGCAATAAAAAACAATAACAAATCCTTAAACTAATCGTACAATAAAAAACAATAACGAATCCTTAAATTAATTGCATATGGACCAGGATCCTCTCCTAAGCAAATGGAGAGGATCCTCTTGACCAGGCTCATCGGGCCGTTCATTTTTTATCAAACGGCTACAAATAGGAGGCCCCTCTAAAAGTTATAATAATTATAGTCGTTGGATAAAAAATGAACTGCCCGATGGACCTGGTCAGGAGGATCCTCTCCATTTGCTCAGGAGAGGATCCTGATCCATTGCATATGTACACAGTAATGTATTAGTTAGTAAGGGTTACTTATGTATCATAAAAATCGTTTAAATCGGTTTAGAATTCGGTTCGGTTTGGTTTAGTTAGGTTTCCGAACTCTTGACACCGAAACTGAATCAATATAATCCAGTTCGATTTGGTTTTTCTAATCCGATTCAGTTTTTCTTTGGTTCAGTTTATTTCGGTTTCAATTTGTTGTTCAGTTCGGTTTGTTTTCAGTTTTCGATTTTTCGAATCCACCCCTTTTGGGTTGGGTTGATGTTTACTTGTCCATGTCAAGCCAAATCCAATCTGATTTCTAACCTAAATTGCTTATGCACATGTTACCCGTCCCACTTCATATTATTATAACTAGATAAAAGTTTGGGAGGACTATACTTGAGTTGGTTGTTTGCTTTGCATTTGAACAATGAACAAGTGTTGCTTAGGGATGGGCAAACAGGTACAGGAATTGCGGGTCGGGGCGGGTACTGTCACAGCCCGTCCCGAATCTCATTTATCGCGAATGTGAAATGACGGAATTACCCTTAACGGTTGCTAAGGTACGTGTGACATGTTTTTTGAATATTGCATACTCTCCTAAATTCTTGGAAAATTTTAAGTGGATTAAAATTTTATACAAATTGTGTGGTTAGGGACTTAAGAAATTTGGATTGTGATTGTTTTGGGTGGACCACACACACAAGGGACAAACACACTCATCTCGTGCCCTCTCTCAGTTCACTCTCTCTCCCTCCCTTTCGAACTCGTACGGACAAGAACCAAAACCCTCAAAACTTCACATATCGATGTCAAAAAGGTGAGTTCCTTCCTCCTTACGACCTCCTGAATCGATTGGTACTAGTTTTAGAACTGGAAACCCTCGAAATCCGTAACCCAGTTTAATGTCACTGTTCATGCACATGTGAAATGTTGGTTTTCAGGGAATTCTAAGCCTACAGGGAGCTTAGTGAGGTCCCAGCCTACGGGGAGCTTAGTGAGGTCCCAAGGAAGCTCGGAGTACTTAGTTTGAAGGTTTTGGACGTCAGGATCGTAGGGTTCGAAGTTGGCTGGTTTTCTTGGATTTTCTCCAGTGAGATTTCGTGTGTTTTTTAGCCTTAAATTAGTACATCGTGATTCTACATGCTTAGGGCTTCATTTTGGTATAAATTTCATAAAAAATGGTTAAGAATTGATGGAGAACAAGGAGTTTGAAAATTTCCCAGAAACCGGCGACTTTTCCGTCGCCGGCGAAACCAGTCCAGCGACTGGAGGAAGGGGATGACACGCGTAGGTCCGTGCCATTCCTGGCGTGTGAGGGCACGTCACTGATCCAAAAAATTTTCTAAAAATATCTTGACGTCCGTAACGTCAAGTAGATCACTGTGGTATATTCATATACCCAAATTGAGCATCGTATGAGAAGTTATTATGTATTGCTGGTTATGTGCTTTAAAATAACGTTTTTATAGTTGTTTCGCATATAGGTGAGACCTATCATGAGGACGAGCGCATTCAAGGGCATCACGGGGGTTACGACCCCTCGACATACCAGTGAGTGGGCAGTTATTTTTTGTTTATACCTATATACTACTGATTTTTCCCAGAAATTGAATATAAATGAATGTATGTTTTAAAATGCCATGCATGCATATTATATGAAATATATGAATTAGTATTTGATGCATTTATGTGAAATGGTGTTATGGACGCACATGTGAGTATCAGGTGAGTTTTATGTTGTTCATATGGTTTATTGATGATGTGAATTGTGTTGAGAGCTTATAACCTGCACCCCTGGTGTTAGTGCTTATATTATTCACCCCGCACCACACGCTCACCTTGGATCCAAGTAGGTGCATGTCGTACAGATCACTAGAGGTGGTTCCGACATGTCGTACAGACCATTAGAGGTGGTTCCGACTTGTAGGTGACTTTAGATTATTATACAGCTGTTGATGAGAGAAGCACTAGAGCGTATTCTTACACCATTCTTGTCATACAGACTACTTCAGGTAGTTCCAATTTATGTGCAAAGTAGTGCCGTACATGTCACAGTGGTGACTTCGGTTGGGTTAGATATTGAGCTATAGAATTAACCGTACAAGACAGCTGCAAGGTTTCCGGTTGATTCATTATTTCACCGGTTATATTGATGCATCCTTATCATGTTTTGAATCATAGCATGGCATATTCTTGAAAAGTGTTAAAGACTTGTGATTTGAGTTTTGCTGTGATATATGATTATGTATATACTATTTTTCTGGGAAAATATATAAGTTTTACAGAGAAGGGTTAGAAGTGTTGTTAAATGAAATATTTTCGAAAAGCTTTGTTTTACTGACCCACTCAATCTTGTTTTGCGCCCCTCTAGGTTCTAGTTAGCAGTGTTGGAGGCTCACGAGGATTCCCACGGCATTCTGACAGACTACTTAAATGTAGGACTCACCTTCGGGTGTTGTAATTTAGTTATGGTCATACTTGATTGCACTTAGTACTTATGCTCTGAATATGTGTGTTTCACACTTAAACTCACTCTAGCATGTTAGTTGGATATTATTGCTAGTAGTTGGTTTTTATTCCTTCGTATTTCTTTTATCTTTTGCTTCTACATCGCACTTTCGGTTACGTCACACTTACGTGATGCCCAGCACGCCTTGATTCTAGGATCGGGGTGTGTCAAGTACGAACCAGTTCCAATTTTTTGAGAATTGAAATGGGGCGGGGTGGATCCATAGTATTTAAGGGGCGGGCCGAGTCCTAGGATTTGGAATAACGGGACACTGGACGGCCCGTTTCTAACTATAAATCATTTACTAATTCTCTAAACCTAATTCATTATCCATTCCATCCCATCGTCCCTTTCCTTCCTGGACTTAAACTAGACTCCCACTCGAGTCATTTCCTCCACCACCACGACAGCTCAGCTCTGATGCGACTCTAAACTAGTGGGCTTTGGTTATGACTAGTTAGACCACCTATTGTCATTATTATCCATTAGGGCCATTACCTAGGTAATACTATTAGGCCCATCCATACCTCAAACCCTAGCTATCCTTGGGTGTATTTAAACCTCTTTTATGATGTAAAGAGACTATGAATGAAGATATGAATTTCCTTTGATTTCCTTTTCTATTTCCTGCATTACTTTCCTTGCAATTTCCCTTTTATACCATGTCTGATCCTATCAATCTCCCTTGACGGCACCACCTATTCCTCATTCTTTTCTCCCTCCCACCCTTGAATTGATTGTGTCGATTGCTTCGAGAGTTCTACAGAACCGAACTGGATAGAGCATCAAAATTAAAAAAACCTAGAAGATCAATCAGATTCTGAAATACCCATTCAAAGAACACAAAGGCATTGCCCCCACGTGTACATTTTTTGACAAAAGGTTTCATCTTAGTGGAAAACATAATTAAAAATTAGGACTTTTTGCCTTTTATCATAAGGATATGGAATTCATCTTCTGTTTGGTAGGCGATGGCTTCGCCGTCGTGCAAAGCATACAGAATCATGGTGCTCAACACCCAAAACCTCATCGCAGCTAGCGACGTTTTCCGCCAACAGGGTTCAGTTCACGGAGTACATACAAAAGACTGCCATCGTCGATCTGAGTCAGATTGGAGCCTTGCGCCATCGTCGTCGATCGGAGTCGAGAGACAGAGACCTTGATTTGGGATTGGGAGAGATAAGCAAGAAAGACGGGGACCACCACCTTCACTGATTCACCACCGGTGGTTCAACTGCTAGTGTGGGTAGCTTCCAACCCGTCAATTTCGTTGGCAGTGGGAGCAATATGGAACCGTGGAACATTCTGGAGCTCTGTATCAAAACCAGAAAAGAAAAAAAAAGAAGTTAATTGGACCTGTGGACCCGCCTCTAACCGGCCCATTTGAAACGGGCTGGGTTAGGGCCGGTTCCCAAACTTAAAAACCCTCTACTCGGTCCGGCCCGCCCCATTACTGTTTAAAACGGGTAAGGTTTAGTTCCTTCAAAATTGGGCCCGGCTCGGCCCTAGTTGCTTTTACGTTTTATTTTTGGTTAAAGCATTGATATTGTCTTGTCATTTAATTTCAACTTTGCATGGTTGGAACTTTTGATATGCGTTCCATGATATTTGGTTTATTTTTATCACGGATGGTGATGTGTAAAATTGAATTTTAAACAATGTTGCATTATTTGGTTCAAAATTTAAGATTTATCTTATAAATAATGTGTTAAGAAGATTGAATTTGATAAAATTGGGCAAACCCGAATTTAACTTGAGTAAGCCGAACCCAATTTAAACCCGTACTCGAGTAAACCCCTAGGAACCCAAACCCAACCCATACCCAAATTAGAAATGTTGGGTTAGGATTTGGTCAACTATCTAACTCGCCCAATTTGCCCAAGTTGCACCCTACTTACAAGTTTATTTTTCTTTCTAAATATAGAAAATTTGAAGTGCTAATAATGAAAATTTTAAAAATAGATTTAATAAGGACAACAATGATGAGAGCACAAGCATGATGAAAGTATAAGATGCGCTTAAAAGTGATGTACAAAGTGGTCAAGTGCTTAGCTTAAAAGTGATATTGATTAACTTGGATTTTGAGAAAACTCCACATTGCATCAACTTGTCAATTGCAAATTTTAGCAACCAAATTGTATAAATTGGTGTTAAGCTCTTCTGAAGTAAATGGAATGCAAAATCATGAAACGTTATTAAGCTCATTTTTTCGCCTGAAAGTTAGAATTTAAGGAGACAGAAAGACAGGGCACTAGAAAATAGAGGAAAGAGAATGGAAGAGCCTAATCCATCTACTTGATTCTACAAGAGATTGGTATAAAGGAGAGTCCGCTTTCTTAAGTTCGTTGTTCGTGATTATATTTATCAATTTTGTCTCCTTAACATTATACTTTATTCCTCCTGTGCAATTTAAAAGTTAAAACCCATCAGTCCTTTAACTCCCCAGACAAACAGCACCAATGGAAGAAGAAGCAAAGCCAGCTGAGTCCACAGCTACCCAAGTCCTCCCAACCCCTCTGAGCTCCGCCGAAGTTCTCCCTGTATAGCCTCCTCCGTCTTCTCTTCCTCCCAAGACCAAGAAGAGACCTCTTGAAAATGATGCTCTTTTCTCCAAATCATCCACCCTCTAGCGTCCTCATTTCGAGGTACAGCTAAAAACCCATGTCCCAAGTTTTGCATCTATATGTGAATTTCTTGTAAATTTTGAAGATTTTTGTGATCTGGTTTTTCTTTTTATTGAATTGTGGATTTGGGTTTGTTTGGATTCACAATTTGCATGTCTTTAACCTTTCTAGATATTTCATTTTTCTTTAATAAGATTAAATAAATGTATAATCTTTGTAATTCCGCTGCCTTGTACTTACATTTTAGGCGCCCTTAGTAGCTCTGCATTGAAAACTTTGTCTAAGTAATGAATTTGATGGAAATGTCTGTTAGTAATGATTGAAATTAATGTTTTCGGTTGCAAAATTCTAATATTTGAACTATTAAGTGAAGAATGAAGGCATATATGATTTATGTTCTCTAGTGAATTGAGGTGTTTCTATTTTGTATTACGTGAAGCTGTCAAAATTAGTTTTTATTTGCTACATTTCGGATAGTGTTCGATTATTTTAGGCTGCAGACCAAGTGTAATATGTTAAATGTATGTTATATCATTATGTAATCTGTATGCCATGGGTAGAATTTAGAAGTTGATTAGGTCCTCTTGAGACTGTTGGGGAGGCCTTTGGGTGTTAACTTGGTTTGTAGATTGTTCGTCTATCAAGGTTGTCAATGTAATCACTCTAAATTCTGCTGTTTTGAACTGCTTCGTCTGTTTACCACATTATTTGAAGTATGGATGAAGTAACTTGCTGTCTTTTGTTATCTTGAAGGTTCTCCACTTTGGAACATGCAAGCCATCCGAAGAAATTCAAGAATGTAAGCTCATCAAGATTTTGTTTTCATCTTTTCACACAATGACATATAGTTATCCCTTGAGTTGTATGATAAACCTGAGCTGATTTGTTAATATTAAAATAGGTGGTTTATTAATGCGGTGCTTATGATGACATCCGACTTTCATTCACGTGCTAACTTGGTTTATTAATCTGTCGGGTGAATAATTATATTGAGTTTCACGCTTGAAACTCAGTTTGTGATAGTTTTATTGTTGGCCACCCAATCCTAGAATGTTGTTAGTAGCATTCAGATGGATTATTAAATCTGACCTGATTTATTAATCTTAACGCAAATGGTTTATTAATGCTATGGTTATGACTTCCGACGTTCCTTGACATGCTAACTTGGTTTATTAATCTATCATGTGAATGATCATATTGAGTTTCACCCTTAAACTCAGTTTGTGATAATTTTATTGTTGGCCACCCAATACTAGATATTGTTAGTATCATTCTGATGGCCTTTTGCTTCCTTTACGATGAGATATCTGTCTCACTCATCTTCTTATGTTGACGCATGGTTCTGTCCTGAGTTTCTTGAGCTCCATGTATGCCTTTGCTCCAGTTTTTGTATCCCTTTGGACACTTTTGAGTTCAAGGCTTTTTGACGGAGCCAATTGCATGAGATGTTGTTTGTTACTTGCCATTTGACAGACAAGTAGAAAGTGACTTTTTATGGATTGATCATGGGATGTGCTTATGATCATGTATGTTGCAAATTGCAGATGTGAAGCTTCTGATGGAACTTTGCAAACAACAGATGACGGCAGAAAAAGTTTCGGCAACAAGAAGTAAGAATGCACCAGCTGAAAAGCCCCAAGATACAAGGGCTTTTGGGAAGCCATCAGAAAGTAAGTTTCCATCAGGTGTAGCCAGTGAGAAGCAGCGGGCTGAAGATGGTCAGACTCAAGGGACATATATTGTTGGTAGGTCTGCTTTTGGCTGGAATTTCATTATATTTGTGGGGGAAGAACCAGTCTACTATGGAATAACAAAGGAGTCATTTTGAGCTAATGGCAGCAAAGAAACAGTTCTGTAGTCCTACCGTTACCATAGACTGTGATTGCTAGCAGAAATTATTAATCCTACCCCATTATATAAAAGAAAAAGGGGATTTCATTGATGATTTTATTAGAATGGTTATTCACCTTGATTCTTCAAGCGGGATAAGTGGATGTTATAAATTTGTAATATTAGAATGGATGTAATGATTTGATCAACTGAAATTTATGTCAGCAATTTTATTACAGAAAGACAGGTTGTTTGAGTAGTATCTTCGCTGGAGACATGGTACTATTATCCGGACGTCGGACCAGACATCTGCTAGGACATCAACTTAAAACAGTTGCAGTGTGTCAAGTCTCAAATGCAAACCCAGACCAAGGTAAGCCATCTGCTGCCATGTTTCCTTCCCTTGCAGATCCAGTTGCAGAACAGGCTTTTAACAATCAACAGTGACCCCCAAAAGTTGGATATTCCTCTCTCTGTAAATATATTCTTCTGCACAAGGATGATTCTGCGGACACCCAACTATAAAGACAAATTCTTAGTTGTTCATAAACCATTCTTGGGTGCCCAGGGACAATTCTCGGGTGTCCACTGAATCACTATTTTCGTAAGGAAAACAACTAGACATTGTCAGATTCATTCACAATCTAACAAATGTCCCTAACTTAGGAATTGGATCCCATCCGGATCCATTTCGTGGGGATCCTAGGGATCCTTATATCTTAGTCATTCATCGTGTATCGTGCGGTTAGAAATCATTTGACTTTTATTATTTAAAATTAAACATAAATAGTATTTGAAGAAAATTGTCTGCACGATGTACGATAAACAGTTAGGATGTGGGGATCCTTAGGATCCTCACAAAATGGATTCGGAGAGGATCCTTTTCCCCTAACTTAAGCCATTTGTCATCCCACCATACCTGGGTGTAGCCAAGTTGTTTAGAGCATTATGCTCCCCCTTGAACTTGCACCCAAAGTGCATTATGCTCCCCCTTGAACTTGCCCCCAAAGTTCGAATTTCCTTCCCTATAGTTTAGTTTAAATTAGAATATTGCTCGAATTAGAAAAGTTAGACGCAGCCCCAAATTCAAGGCCAATGATTCTGGTGTAAGCACTTGTTCAAATAATATTTATTTTTTAACCATAACATCTACTGAAGCGTGTGTTGAGTGCCTCAATTTTAAAGGGATTAACTTTCATCCCTGATTCAATGGTTCACTTAAAAAAGATAATCACTTTTGAAAATTTTGGTCTTGCTAAAATTATTTTTATAGGTTAAAGGGGCTTTACACTAGGATTTTCAATACCTTTGTGAACAAAAAGAAAGTAGTTTTGTGGAATTATTGTAATGCGAGCTTCTTCAATGGGGCACCAAAAGTCTCACTTTATCAATCATGTTGTCTAGTGGAATTATTGTAAAACGAGCATCTTCAATAGGGACTATAAATGGAGTCCTCACATCCCTATATCACCTAAGGGTAATGCTAGGGAGACCAAAATTTTAAATTAAATTTGCAAACCAAATGATATGTCATCAATAGGAAATAAGCAAGTTAATCAACGCTTAAATAATAATCCAATCATCAACAACTACATCATTTGATTTGCAAATTTGATTTAAAAAATTTGGTCTCCTTAGGATTACCTATCACCTAAATATAGGGATAAATGTTTTCTAATGAACCAGAATAGAGGTCTCAAAGTATCTCAATATATAAGAAATCGCCAAATATCTCAAAAAAATCCTCAAATATGAAGACGGTATGGGAGATGCTCTTGGTACTTGATGTAGTTTATCAAGTGGAATTATTTTGCTTTCCTAAGTAATTGTGGTTCTTGGTCTTAATTTGACTCTAAAGAACAGGGTCGTACTGCAATCTTGCATTGGATGCATAGAGAGGATTTTTACATGAGTAAGGGGATCGGGTTTGTTGTTGGGTTTTGGAGCGTTTGTGGCAAATTGATATCAATAGGTCCTGAAGATGTGCATATTTCAAGTTCTTAAATGTTGTAAACGATCGATTGGGTTTAAGTAAGGGTGGAGTTGATCAAACGACGGAGAATGCTTAGATGCATCTTTTTAGCTTATGCATATAATTATTGAATGCTATAGAAAGTGGAGTTGATGCATCTTTTTAGGTCGTGGAGATATGCCTAGTTGCCTTACTATATCTTTGCAGAAAATGCTATGCAACACTTTTTATAGCAATTATTGAATGCTATAGAAAGTGGTTTGCCGTGTAGTGAAGACAAGAACAGGAGGTACTGTGCGTGCGGGATATTAATTTAGATCTTAGATCATCTCCTTAACGGAGATGTCAAATCATAAGTGGAATGTCATGTAATCAAATTTGAAGGTAAGAACAAGTTCTAACCAATATGTCAATCCTATGTGGATTGACATATGAAAAAATGTGATGTCAAATCATTTTTAATTTTTTTATTTTGTGGGTCCTATTAATACACCAATTATAGATCTTTGAAATTTATTTTAATTGATTTGTTTTTAAAATGGGTCATACAAATATCATTTATAACAAAAAAACATATCGGTTGGAAGTAGAGAAAATTTGACATTGCCATGTTAGCCATCAAATTAACATTTGACATTTATCTTTTAACATCTCCTTTGGATATGCTCTTAACACCACAGTCGCATCATCAAAACCACACTGAAATCAGCCAAATCGAATTACTTCTATTTATTCTTTATGAATAAAAAAAAATCAAACTGAACCGAATCAAATAGTTGTAGAATTATCAAAGAGATGGGCCAAAGGCCCACTCCAACAACACCGATATTGTTCCAAATTTGGTAATTAACACATGCACAATCCGTCAGGTATGGAGTTAGAATATTTAAACTTTCCTTTTGTCAGAGATATGGTCAATGTGAGATATTTCAACACGTCCCTCATGTGGGACCCAATTTGCGAGTCACACGTGGGAGATCCACATATCGACAACCACACAGAGCTAAGGGGACTCACCTTACAAGCAGGGTCAAAGGACCCACCATCATTGATCAAGGCCAAGAGGACCCAAGCATCACGTAGCAGTACAAGCCCGCTCCTGGCTATGATACCATATAGAATTATCAAAGAAATGGGCCAAAGGCCCATTCCAAAAACATCGATATTGTCCTCAACTTGGTAATTACCACCTGCACAATCCGTCAGATGTGGGGTTAAGATATTTAAACTTTCATTTTGTCAGGAATATGATCGATATATGATATTTCAACATGTCTCTCACGTGGAACCAAATTTGTGGATCACAAGTACCACATGGAGCTAAGGGGACTTACCTGACACGCGGTGTCAAGGGACCCACCATCATCACGTGGGGCCAATGGGACCCAACCATCACGTGGTAATATGGACCCGCTCTCTGGCTTTGGTACCATGTAGAACTATCAAAGAGATGGGCCAAAGGCCCACTTTAGCAACATCGATATAATTCTCAACTTGGCAATTAATTATCACATGCACAATATGTCAGATGTGGAGTTTTATCACAAAAGGTCTCGGTATTAGTTGGAGTGTGTTAGGATGTTTAAATTCTTCTTTTATCATGCATACGATTGATGTGAAATATTTCAATAATACTAACTTCGGTTTTGACAAAAATCAAACCGTAGTAAACCGAATTAACAAGTAAAGAAAGAATATGAAGGAACAAGAGAAAGCGGCAAAAGAAAGACGTTTCATTGCACGTAGAAAATAAATGAAAAAAGTTTAAATTTATTTTGACCGCACGATCTGGTTTTAATGGTTGATATTTTCCACACAGGTCTTACAAAAGTTTGCCCGATCACATAGGTTAGGTTAATAGACTTGTTACTAGGGATGAGCAACGGTTATGGCGGGCGGGTAACCGCTATTATTTACCTATAACCGTTTATGCTCATACCCGCATAACCGTTTACCCGTTGGGTAATTGCCTAAACGGTTATACTCATATCCATAACCGTTTATAAACGGTTAATCATACCCATAACCGCATACTCATTTAACCGTAACCGTTTAATACTCGTTTACTCATTTATCCTTTTTAACTCGTTTATCATTTTTTCACCCGTCTACATGTTTTTTAACAACTTGAAAATTAAAAAAAATTTGTCATAATTTTCTTTTTTTCTTTTTTTTTGACAATTAAACACCGTTATAGGTACATTCATCAATACATTTCCATATTTTAATTTTTTTAAGTCCTTATACCATTACAATAATTGAAATAATAGTTTACCGACGATATTTTTAACTGTTACCAATGAAGGTAAATATAATATTTGCTAAGTATTATTGGGTTACAAAAATTGTTTAGAAGACATTTTTGTCAAAGCATTTCTGTCAATTTCACGGTTACCCGTAAATAATTTAAATTAATTTGGCCAATTCCTTGATGATGAGAATCATCATTCCTGTAGCAGTGTTATTGAGAGAATGACAGATGAATTCCTTGCTAATTTATTGGGTGCTAAGTATTATTGGATCGAGAACATGGTTTGTGTTAGTTTTACATATATAAAATAAATAGGTAAACAGTTACCCGTTTATAACCGCGGTTAATACCCATAACCGCCAATTTAAATTTCACGGGTAAACGGTTATAACCATAACCGTTTATTTATCTAAACGGTTACCCATAACCGTAACCGTTTAATTTAAATGAGCGGGTAACCGTGATTACCCATAACCAATGGGTATTTGCCCATTCCTACTTGTTACATATGAAAAGACTTCGCGACGTCACTACCATTCGAAATTTCAACTAACTTGCACGATTGAAAAATAAATTCGACATATTTTAACTTTTCAAAACTAGACTTAACAGGGGCAAAGGTGATGAATTCTTGATTAATTGTGTTTCTGCGTCTTGATCTTGATTGTAATTGTTTTTAGGGAAAATTTGAAATAAGTCCAATTTTATAAGCATACTTTTGAAATAGGTTCAATTTTTAACGACTTTTGACTTTTGAAATAGGTCCAATTTTTAGTTACTTTGGACCCATATCAAAAAACTTTTTTTTTTTTTTTAAGATGGGGGAATTATTGTACTTTTGCCAAGGTTTTAAAAAGACGTTAAGCGCTAGTTGAGTGACGGATTGGGCCTAGCGCCTAGGCGATTTTAAGTAAATTTATTATTAACGTATGAACGAGTGCATGCTTATAGATTATAAGGTATTAGAACATAATGAAAATATGGAGAACAAGCGTATAATGTGTGTTCATCTAAGTATTCAACAAGTCTCTTACTATTTATTGAACAAAATTTGGATGCCCAAAATCCAAAAATGTTCTCTTGGTTACTTGGTGACCAAGAAATATATGATGATTCACTATTGGAGTAAAAATGGATCTTAATCCAAACCACAAACCACCCCACAATAACAAACGGATAATGCTAGAGAGATCAAATATTTAAACCAAATTTACTAACCAAATGACAGGATTGTTAATGATTAGATTATTAGTTAAGTTTTGATTACCGTGTTTATCTTCCACCATGTCATTTGGTTTAAAATTTTGTTTTCTCTAGCATTATTCATAACAAAAACAAATTTCTGGGTGTTTTATTTTTGTGTTTTGTTAAAGACACATGTCCACATTTCCCGTCAGTGATTATTTTCTTCTTGTATCAGCCTTTGGATCATAACGAACGGTGAGATTTAACTTTGTCGTGCAACGCATATTTCTCACACGTCTGGGTCTATCTGATCCCTCTAATTATGCTGAAAATTCTCAACTGTGCGGACCTCTAATTCCAAAGATGTGTGATGATCAACATGAAACCGTGATCTCAAGCAATGCAGAAGAAAAGGATGAGCCTATAACATGGGGATTTTACATCAGCATGGCGCTTGGTTTTATTATTGGATTTTGAGGAGTTTGTGGCAACCTGATTTTCATCAAGCCATGGAGATACTAGTACTTCAGCTTCTTGAATGTCTTGAATGATTGGCCTTATGTGAGGGTGATTTCGATTAAGCGGCACTTCAATTAAGCTGTGATTTTACTTTTCTTTCTTAAATTAAGCTATATGCATGCATCTCTTTATAAAGTTTTTTCTGGTTAATTTGGCTGTCTTTTTTAGAACTTAATTATGTGTGCTTGTCTATTTTTATTTTCAGCGTTTCTGAGACAGCACATAAGGTTCACTTCATTGGAAGAGCTTCACGGGCCTTATCTATTTTAAGTTTTCAAGTATTGATCTGTCATAATAAAGAACTTTACTACTACATCTCCTTGGCAGATGATTTGTTAGTGTCACTTGTTTGTAAGAAGTTTACTGCTACTTTTACTTTATCAATACCTTTTTGCAGTATATGTTTAGTATCATGATATTTACTAAAGAAATTCAGTTAATTCTGGACTGTATATGATTGTTTTGTTCGTCGTAAATTTTTGAACAAAGTGTTTTAACTTTTAATTTTTAATTTTTATCCAAGTAGTAATTTATATCAATGTCTGACAACCATAAGACGACGTTTGAAAAACTAATAATTATTATTTATTTATCCAAGTAGGAATCCTATATGCTTTCTGTACACAAATTATAAAGCTTCTGAACGATTTCCTCCCTACCACTGTTTTTAACAACTTTCTATTTTTCCTTTCCATTTTGTCAAAGGAATTCATAAGGTCTTAAACCAAAAGAAGTGGAAAACTGGGCACCTGGTCGAGCGGCCTAGATTTTCACTTTTGTCCAACTGCTTTACTCCTTTTGGATTCAAGCGTAGTACCCTCCTTAAGTGCTGCTTGAGCTTCACTGTCCATTCCAAGGGCTGAAAGGGCAACAGCCTGAAGATAACATGCAATGTGCCAAACTGGGGAAACTACTTGTGCTTGCATTGCATCGTTTATAGCATTCTGAGGCTTGTCACTCATGAGATAAGACAAACTACGCCGGGCAAAAATTGTTGGAGAAACCATCGTTCCAACATCAATGAACTGCAAGCAAAATAAAACAGTTGGCGACGATAACAAATGCAGAGAAAGCAGCAATTCAGGATTTAATATTTTTTTTTTTCTTTCAGTTTTTTTCTTTTTTATTGGTCATGCAAGTAGAGCTACTAGGTTCAGATATTCTTAAGGTACCTTAAACTACCAATTTCGTTTCTTCTATCAAGAATTAGAAGATAAGATGTAACGCCAAACAAACTTCGTACGAAGCTGTGCTAGTAATTTATTTTAACAGGTCAGATAAAGAACATCCTATTGAAGGTCAAATTTGGATATTGGTATGAACATGAAAGCAACTCTTATCAAACCTCTACTCAGAATTTCCCACAAGTATCATAATAAGAACCTAACCTGTGAATAACACTCAATCGTGGTTCTGAAGTCCTTGTGCTTAAAAGCAGAATCCCCCTTTTTCTTTGAATCTAATGATTCCTGCATTTGGTCAGTCCACATTTGGAACGAGAGCTGTAGTGGAACGTAAGAGAGAAAATGTTTCAGTAACACAACCAAACTATTGAGAAGGCTAAATATGCACACAACACAACTTAGAGTTTTCTCCATTAATTAAGCGAATATAGAACCTCATTTGTCATTCCATCATCTTTATAGCCGATACTCTCTAGGATCTCATGTATAGCAGTCAAATCCCTTCTTGTGCAGGCTTCGCCAAGCGGTGAAAGAGAAGACCCGGAGGTACCGTGTGGGATACCCATCAAAACAGAAGAAGGAACCTGCAGAGGTGAGCAAAAAGAATAAAGGAAGTTCAGGATACAGCTACCAGCATCATGTTAAGCATCTATAAATGATTAAACTACTACGATGGTGCAGATCTGAGTGCTTCTAATTGGCACCCAACAAGTACGGTATCACTGAAAACCCTTGTAATTAACTACCCTCAATTTCGGGGCATAAGAGATTGATATTTTATAGAGTATCATTCACCATGAAAGGCACTAAACAAAAGTGTAACTCTCTCAAGTCCTCACTAATAACAAATTAGAGTCATATCCCTTTCCCAATTTTTCAAATATTTCCGATTGGTACAAGGTTCAGTATTAACAAATAGTGAATCAGTAGATACGAGCTTACACAATTAGCTCAGATTGAGTTCGGTGAAAAGAAGACAACATATGAATATATTGCTTACAAGACTGGCCCAAGATATAGATCTAAAAACAATTGTGTGAAGATTTTAAACAGTCAAACTATGCTCCCCTGGTAAAGTTGGGAATAGAATGCTTAATTAGAGAAACAGAGGAGAAAGAACTAACCTCATCTTCTTTCTGAAGAGGAGTCAAAGAAGCAACTAATGACTTTGGATTTGGTCGCTCTCGGGGTTCAGATTGTAAACATCGTGAAGCCAAGCGTGCCAACTCAGTACCATCATCATTAGAAAGCTGTACTTCCAAGCAAGAATCTGTCAGCATCTGAAGATTTCTGTCCCGAATCAGGTCTAGGGCCTGGCACATAATGATCAACCACCAGATGAATACATTTGCTTACTTTGTGTTTACATATCCTAAGAAGGATAAATTCTCACGCAGATTTCATAACAATTGAAAGTAAACAATATTTTATTGTAGGTAAAAGAGTAACCATTAGATCTTTACAAGAGTTTCCCTAATTTAACTTTTCCTACAAATGGTTTTTTCTTTATTTTTCACCTGTTCACCACTCGAACAATCACTTAAACAATTGAAAGTAAACTATATTTTATCTTAGGTAAAAGAGTAATCATTAGATCTTTACAAGAGTTTCCCTAATTTATATGGTTTTTTCTTCATTTTTGTTCCGTTCACCACTGGAACAATCACTTACATGGCTAGGGGGGATATGCTTTCCGCTGAGAAGATCAATCAAGAGAGTCCCAAAGCTATATATTGCACTTTCTGGTGTTACTCTCCCTGCAAGACAAGGGATATGCAGTGTATAATAATTGCTGAACTACATACTTAATGGATGCTTGTCAAGTAAATCATAAACTTGAATGAGATGTTTGGAGCAAAAACGCCGCTTTTTTTTTTTCCATGATCTACCTACCATTCCTAATATATTCAGGTGGAGTAAATGCCAGATTTGTACTATAACTCTTCCCATCCCTACTATTTTTCATCAGTCCGAAGGTGGATATTCTAGGATTGCCATCCTGAAAAATTATAATGAATAAAGTAAACGAATACAATTAGAATATACTTAGGAAAGGATACCAAACAGATGGAGTCAAAATATAGTTACCTCATCGAATAAAATTCTGTAAGCATTAAGGTCGTGATAAAGCGCACGCCCTTTACTTGTGCAGTATTCTAGAGCCTGTGCAAGATGTAACACAACCCTTAATCGCATTACCCATTTCATAGGCTGTGCATCCCCTGATGATTCAAGAAGGTAGTAAAGTTATTTTCCACTAAACAAAAGAACAGTACTCATCAGCGGAAACATTAGCGAAATTCGAGAAGATGGCAAAACTGAAACAAGACCACTCAGTTGTCAAACATGAACCTGTGCTATAAACGAAAGTCGGTATTAACAAAAGTTTCTAACACCCAAAAGGGGGGAGGGAGTAATAACCCTCAACCATTGTCTCAATGTAGATCCCCACACCAACATCTCTTAAGTAAAATTTGGCGATGGAATTCAGGGTGAAGAAGTGATAAATTATACCAGAAAAGAGACATTTATAGTTTGAAGTTCTAATATAATATGTGACCCTCATTTCTAAAATAAATGTGATGCTTAATATCCTAATATATCCTTTTCGAATGAAAACCCAAAATGAAACTATTAAGCAGGGCAATTGCAAGACCAAATGGATCCGATATCCAACCATAAAAATGAGTACAACATAGTTCATTAACCAAAAACCTAGTATAAGGAGCAAGCCTTACAATGAAAAAGATGCTTTGCAAGTGTTTCATTGGGCATATATTCCGCCACAAGCAACCTTTCATCACCTTCGCAACAACAACCAAGCAAATTGACCAATCTATGGTTGCGGAGGTGACCAACCAATCTTGCTTCCTCCTGCAGTTGGGGCAAATGAAAATCATCTCAGAATAGTGGTTGTAAATAGAGAAGACAGAAAATGATGTGCTTCCTTTAGTGGAGCAGATAAAACGTTAATGAGGAATCATTTGGTCCAAAAATAACTGTAAATTTCAGTCATAGAGAAATACAGCTATGCATTCGTGAATTCTACATGCCAAAAGCACCCTATGACCAGAATTGCAAAACCACATAAGATCCCAACAGAAAATTACATTAGTGTAAAACATAAAGATAGAAACAATAGTTCTGCAGAAAATGTAGACTAGTTTTCGTCACCAAAGCATCTGGTTTAGAGTTTTATGATACATAAAAGTATGCCTACCAAAAATTGCTGAGCATCGGGCCAGGCCATCCTATTGAAGCGCTTAACAGCAATTCTCTTCTGATTTTCAAGTTTCCCTTTATAAACAATATTTGGAGCCTTCTCTCCTTGCTCAGACACAATATACTCCACGGCAAAACCAGATGTTGCCTTTTTAAGTTGCTCAAATGTGAATTCACGAAATGCAGGTAAGTTATCAACCTCGCTCTTCTCCTCATTATCTGTTAAAGGAGAACAATCCACAAGCATCAGATATGATCTGCTTCTACATCAAAACAGCCAAGCAAAGACATATTTTAACCCACCAATGTCAGGAGTTTCGAGAACCGCTGCCTTCATTTGTGAATTCCAGCAACATGGTATGAATTTGAAGCATTGACCCCCCATCTCAATGCCACGGTGTCAATTTAAACCACAAGTCCCTTTTTCAATCTCTGCCTCTAAAGAAAACCAACCTCAACTAAATCCAGATTCCTCTGACTTCTCGCCCACTAAACTTCAAAACCTCCTGAAAATTTATCGAAATAGAAGTCATCTGTTGAATCTCATTTCCTTAGAATCATAAGACCGAAAAATAAACTCGACTATAAATATATATTTGGGCATTAGCATTTTCTCTCTATCCACTAAACTAGTACTAGAAAATAATGAAATGAACCAGAAACAGCTTTAAAAGTTCTTTCAGTACCTCAACCAACTTGGGGAAGCTGAAAACACCAAAACCCAAAACCCAGTAAAGCAGAACCTTCACAGCTCACCAGAAAAGCTATAAGCACCGAAACTCAATAAGCACTTTTTCAGATGACCCAAAAACAAAAGTTGTTAAACCTTTCAGCTGCTTCTCCAATGCTCAAAACCCTTTTTCTGGGTTACTTTCACTCTACGTCTTTATCCTCCCTTTCTTGATCGGATCAAAATCCTCACAAGATCCAACCTTTTTGCCTCACAAACCCCAGAATTTGAATTCTAAACAAAACCCAAATCGAAAAAAAATCAGAGAAAAAAGAACGTGATAGTTGAAAAAATGGCTCAAAAATCCGAGTTGCTAACACTGTTTGTTTTTATTTATTATTTATATAGAAACAAATCTAGCATCAATCTATCAAAAACATCACAAGAGTCAAGGATATTAAACTAAGTTCCAATTAAATCATTCTTGTATTTATTTAATTGTGAAGATTTTGACCAGCTTGCTAAATTTCCTTTGTTTTACATTAGCTGGGCCAATGGTGTGGAGTTTATTGGTGAGATATTTGAATTGAATCTTGTTGTTTGGAATGAATGGGAGTGGGGCCAAGTGGCCAACGGCCGACTGAAGTTGAGACTTTTTCATCATTTGCTATCGTTACGGCGCCGTTTCTATACCAAAAACTAAAAAAGTGGGCCCGTACGATTTAATTTAATCTCGATTTATTATGTCACTTAGTACTACAATCTAACGGTATTTATTTTCACTTATAAGTGAAATGTCTCATATTCAATTCATTTTCTTAGTGCAAATAATATCATTTGTTCAAAAAAAAAAAACTTGATTTATCCTTAAAATTACTATAAAAATAAAAGAAAATACAGGTAGATACAAATAATTTGAATTGAGCATCTTTGTGAAGTTGGTAAGTTGGTCAATATATGAATCTTTTGGACACAAAATGTTGAGATACAAATCCATGAACCCACCAGAATGATGTCCGTCTTCGACAATGCGCTGCATGTAAAAAACAAAAGCTGAAACGAGATTCTAGCACCCAAATTCCTGAGTTCAATTCCAATATCACTTGTACGAAAAAGTTGTTCACAAAGATAAATGAACTCCAACGAATGTGATTTTACTTTTAACTATATCAACACAGTGTTTGTTAAGCACCATATTAACACAAATTAAACCATAAGCAGGAAATTACTGTGTTTACATGGATTTGTTCTACTCAAGACTCCACCTTTGCTTGTACATGAACTGCACCTGCTTGCCAAACAACCACCAGACACTAAATAAGAATTGAGAAATATATTTCTACAGAAACGATAAGCTTAATAGGCACCACATGAATCTCCCAAAACAGAGCAAAAAACAGTAAAGCAAAGAGAAACAGGCACAAAACAATGAATGATACAGCCTACGACAGTGTGAAACTCACCTTGATTTCGAAACTTCGGTCAATGTCATTAGAATCCATTTCAGTCTCTCTGAGATCCCAATCAACATCAGACTGAAAGCCCCTATTTCTTCAACGAATTGGACGCTTTTTCAAACTTCCTCCAAGGTTATCCCACTTTCAGTTTGGGACCCAGAGAGCAGCTCTCACTATTGTTTTTCTCAAACTAAAGGTTCAGAATTTCTTTACAATTGTTAATATATGTTACAGAGTACAATACATATAATTTGCAATCAAAGATCAGTACCAAAGCGTGTGAGAGAGGAGTACTAGGTTTGTGAGATTGCATGTGTATTGCTCAAATATATATATATATATATATAGAGACAACTCTTTGTTCACATATAAATGTATTCACCGCCATTTTTTTTAAGCTAACTCTGGCCAAAAGAACTCACAATGCTTACAATAAACTCGAAAAGGGTCCTGCAAAATTTGCGTATAGGCATGTATTTCTAGAAACAGATTCCCAATACAGAACAGGGAAAACACACAAATGACGATACACATAACCCCTGCTCTAGACACTTTTTCTTTCAGTTTTCTACGAAGATTGTTATATACTCTACATTTACAGCAAGTTCCATGAAGTCTTATCTTTTATCCATCAACCACTTTGAAAAGAGAAACGACTAGTATACAAATAAGATAAGAATTGCATTCTTACTACTGAGTTCTGACTTTCTTCAATCTGTACATGAGGGACTCAATAGATTTTAGTAATTTCATGCTATCTCTCCGTGCTATTTCCTGAGATGCGAGGTGTAAACTTTGAATCCCGCAACCCAAACTGGCAGTTGATGGAGCTGCAGGTAGAGATTCAGCAGCACATTCAATCCCATCTCCGTACGCAACCAATCCGGCACAAGTTGCAATACTGCACCCAAAGGTAGCCCACGGTAGGACACCAATTTTCCGGATATGCTGTTTCCTCATTATTTGTTAGATTGCTGTTCTCATGGCTGAAAAGCTAGTCTTCTCTGCAGCAGCTGTAACACTATGGGCAGCTACCCGGATCTTCTCAGCAGAAGCAGTTGCTTTCAGTAAAGTTGTTGATTTGACACCTGGAGCTACCATTTTTGAGGGGCCAAGTGAAGCTGGAACTTTGAAAGTCACCACTTTCATCAAGGTTGAAGCCGGAAATTTGAGTGTTGCAGCTTTGGAGAGTGAAGATGCTCCTAAAACTGCTGTTGCCCCTGCCCCTACGGCCACCAAAGGTTTATCAGTTAGCAGTTTTTCCTGTCAGTATCATTTGACATTTCCCCCTCACCCTCACAATCAGTAACAAGCTTTCCGACCATTTCCTTGACCTCTAAAGGGACATGAGTTTTCCAGTGTTTTCTAAGACTTGCTAAGCCACTAGCATCCACTACTGCCACTATGGTCTTGAACTTCTTAGTCTGGCCACGAAGGGCCTCTACCAGCAGAGCATGTGACTTGTCCTCAACTGGAAGATCAGAAAGCTCAGCCTGATTTAAGCTCGGCTCCCTTATTTTATTAATGGGAAGGCGACCAGCATTGTTGAGAGAAATTCTCAGCCCCTCGACTGCAATCCGAAGGGCATAGACTTCAGATATAACATTGGTATCTACAGCTTCACCTCTGTTCACATCGTAGAGCATCTTTTGAGCATTAGCTAGAGCCTTTCCCATTGCTGGGAGATCAGAAAAAATATTATGTAGATCCAAAAGAAATGGATAAATCGACTGAGCAAACTGTGGGGCCTCGTAATTGGATCATCTGTGATTGTAAATCATTGGTTATGTATAACCTCATCGAACTTGACGCAGCAACTAAACCCACTTTCTGTGGAACCAAGCCACTAACTAAACCCTGGAACTTGCTCACTGCTTCAAGTTCACCAGGGGTATTCTCCGCACCAGAACTTTTTACGAATGGCAATTCAAGCACCAAGAATGATGATCCAACCTCCTGAGCCACCCTCTTGGCTGCCAAAAATTGTCCATGAAAACCAACCCCAAAAATCTCTTGTAAAACCAAGTTTCCTGCAATATCTTCATACCTCTCCTTGTTAACCTTCTCTAAAAAACATCGTTTGAGAACTCGTAACGTTGAAGTGGGAAATGATTTATCAAAACCATCACATAATACACTTTCTTCGGATTGAATTTCAGTCAGGGTTGAATGACCCACCTGGGCAATGACAGCATCAGGTCTAATCTCCCTAATTAGACAATCAGCATCCGTTGCTGACCACTCTGATAAACTTTGAGCAGAAAGTATGTAAATTACAGACTGAGTTTCAGGCTCACGAACTGCGTAAACAAATTGTTTCGTGCGTTCAGGTATTCGGAGTTTGCGCACCAACTCATTCGATACTTTCAGGTAATCGGATTTCAGTACAGAAAATGGCCAAATATTTTGTCAAACTCATAACCGACATAGAAAACAACTCCAAATTCTCAGTTCCAAACTGAATTTCCAATACCCACATAACTTTGCGAGCATTCAAACAGAGTCCATACACGCAGAATTCGATACGATTCGATACTACCCGGTTGAGGGAATTCAACGATCATTACAGCCACATTTCAATGCAATCAAAAGAACCATAAACAGAAAAATAAAAAACATCTCATCAATAACCAGAATCAAAACGTACTTTTTCCAGAAATTTGGAATTCTATGGGCCGATTTCTGTATCCAAAATTATAGTCTCTCTTTGCATGACAATCATCTGCAATGCCGGGACTTCGAAGATCAAATACTTGCACCTGAGGCAGCTTGGCGAAGCTGAAATCGACAGAAACAGCACGACCCACGACCCAGATTCCAAAAGCCCAAAACCCTGAAATTAAAACTTGTCGATTGAACCAAATTAATAACCTTTTACTGGGTTCTTCCGCTCTCTGCGTCTTGATCCAATCCAACATTCCCTCCCTCACGCTGAGGGATGGAAGATGGAAGCTTTTGAAATAGCCTCAGAACTCCAGTGAGGAAAGAACTATAATCTTGAAGGTTGTGGTATTTTCGTAAAATAATTTTACGACTCATGAAACCACTTACGGCCCAAAAAGAGAATTAAAATTTTAAGGGCCAAGAAACTGCACATTTATTTGGGCCACAGAAGAAAGCCCGTAGTCAATCACCGCAAATTGATTCGTCTAGAGTACAAGTTGGAATAGAGTTTTCGATTCTGTCATTAAAATTTTCGATCCGAGCCCAAAAGATTTTGAATCTAAATATATATTTCATAAAAGTTGGAATGGGCATTTGTACCTATTTATAAATTTTGAGAATTCCTAATTTTCGATCAGAATTTTTATATTTATTTACTAAAATTATTTATTGTGTGATTAATTTTTTGTATTTTATTCGTTATTTTATGTTAACCATACACTATGCTAAAAAGATAAATATAATATATCAGTATATAAAAAATTAATTAGATTATACAAAGGCACATACGGAATATGAAGAAAAAAAAAGCAATAAATTGCATATAAAAAAATGTTTAAGAACATTCAAAAACTTATAAAATATAAGAATTTTCAAATTATGTTACGAAATTTCAAGATTACTTCAATTCTGAATTTTTAGAATGAAAATTGGAAGCCTTGTTTGCAATTCGATCCGTCCAAAAATACCCTTAAAGGATGGAAGATTTGGGTAAAAAAAAAAGATGGAGGACCAAAGTGAAGAAGCACAAAATTGAGCGGGTACATTTGTAATTGAAATATTCAATAGTCCCTCTTTAAAACATCTCTCCTCCGTCGGGATTAGGGTTTGGTGGTTCTTTGTTTTTTCAGCGATTCAGAGTGGGAGAGGTGTGCGAGAGAAAAATGTCGAAGAAGAACGATCTAGCTCGTAGAAAAAGGCAGCATGAATTCGAACTCAAAAGTAATCCCCCCTCTCTCTCTCTCTCTCACTCTGTCTCTCTCTAATCTCTCTCTAGATTCCTATATATATTTGTTGTGTATATATATATTCAAATTTTATCTGTAATTTAATTAGGAGAGAAAGAAGAAAGAGAAAAGAAGGCAAAGAAGCTTCAGGCAAAGAAGAGCAAGATGAAAGTGAGTTTTTCCCTCTCTGTATAATCTGTTGGGTTTTTTTTTGTTGAACTATTAGCTACTTTTGGTTTATTGGGTTTATGAAAAGTTCTAACTTTGAAATCGGAAATTGTTCAATTTTACGCGGTTTTTCATTAATTTGTAGGTAGGAGACTAATTAGAGTTCCCCAGTAGAACAATGTTAGAGTTGGGTGGTTGCTTTAATTTTTAACGAATGTTTGTGAATTCAACTTTCCCTCTGTTGTATTATAGACTTGCGGTCATTTTTGGAAGATTTATCCTTTTTTTTTTTTGAAGTAAACCTTCGTGGAGAGTTTGTTTTTAACTAAATTATGTACAACAGGTTGATGGTAATGAGAAGAAAAAGAAGGGTGGAGGTTTTAAAGTAGGCAAGAAAAAGTTCAAGACCAAAATGACGGCGCTGAATAAGGCTAAAGCCGCCCAAGCAATGGAGGTTGACAAATGAGGTTCAGTCGCAATGGTTATATGTGTATGTTAAGAAGTATTGAAAGAAATGGTTATGAATTTGCCTTTTTGATATTTATGTTGTTGGTCATTGTCACAATTTTGCTCCTTTGATTACGAGTACAATTTCTAATTTTAGTTGGAAAATTCGTATTGTTAGACAATGCCACAACATTGTTCTTACCCTGTTTCCAGTGTGTTTGTGGCTTAATTAATAGTTAGAATGTTGACGATGATAGAGCAAAGACATTAAATGTCTTAGGACATATGGCTTGTATGTCGTAAAAGTGAAGATTGTGATTTAGTATCTTAATTCCTTTTGATCTTGCTAAGAACCCAGTTCAAAATCAATGTTTTAAATTAGAATACTTTTTGCACAGGCTTCCCATGCATATCCCCAAGAAGGATAATTGGACTGGAATGTTTTATAGATAGTTACCAGGCATATAAGGAATTGTTGCGAGACAAGCATGAAAAGAAGAAAGGGAGGTTATATCAGGACTTGTTGGGTAGAAGTGTGTGAAAGGAATAAAGGAGGTTCAGTGAGATGCATGGTGTAGGCTGATTTGGGTCGACTCTTGACACAGTTTAGCAAAAGCTTTAGATTGTGATGAAACTATATATTCAACAATGTTTTAGCAGTCAAGAATCTGGTGTCAAATGTATATTTATGAACTACAAAAGGTCAGATCAGCTAGGAGTGGAAAATCGAGTGATCACAAGAACAATAAACCCAAGTTGGTTGTGATTTCGATTCTGCAATAGTGGAGACTATACAACAAACTGTTGTTTTATAATGTTGATCTCGTCTGAAAGGCATATTGATGGACAATTCAACCACCTGTTATAGGCAATATGTGATGTTTGTTAGAAATAGTAGCAAACATTTGAGTCAGGTACTGATTCACATTAATTTGCTCATTGTAACTGTTGATTAACCTGTAGTTTACAGCCTGATTTTGAACAGCTTCTTTGAATGGTTCAGCCATCAACCAATTTACTCTTCTTGCAGAAGCTTCTGTGTAACTTATTTGAAGGTATTTTTCTTAAAACTATCTTTTGGCTGGACGGGTGTCACTTTCAATCCCGACTCCTAGAATTTAAGTGCTCTAAAGTATTTAGTTCTTGGTAATTCTCTAATGGTTTAGGTCGATTTATGATAAGATCATTCCTTCTGTATGCTAATACTTTGACAATTGCCTCAACAAAGATTATATAGCAAGATACAGGTTCTGTGCCCTTATTGGAAGATTGGCACATCTTCCGTTTTGGGTGTTGGCTATAAGTTTTCAATTATCAAGAGTGTAGTGGAGGGCATGGATTTGGGTAGGTCTGAGTATTGAGGAGCATGGAGGGTATGCGTTTAGGACACCAACAATTTTAGGGCAGTGGGAAACCGAGCAGCCTCATCTTGTAGAGTTCTGGGGTCTGACCTTTGCTTCTACTTCTAAAAGAATTTCTTATCAATATGAATAGTTGAAGGGATTTTCTAGTATGCATTGGTGTATGATATCCGCTGGAATCCTTGGCCGTGCATCCAATTCTTCATTCATCTAGTGCATGTCATACACCGAACTAGATCAGTAGAATTTCGGATATGGGAAATGACTACTAATTTGTAGTTCAACTAGTTTAGGATATTTTATGAGGTCTCTCGTTCATTTTCTCCTTTTCTAAGTGTCGCTTGTTTAAAAAAGAAAAAGAAATTGAGATGGGAATCTCGTACTTATATCCAAGTGTTTTATTCTCATGAAATAAAAACTACTAGTAAGGGCATTTTGGGAAACGTAAATCGTGCACCGACGGACTAGCTGCTCAGGTCACTTCAAGGTACAGATGAAGATGGACATTTTCTCCATGATAATCATGACCTCTTGCTGCGGAATAGGATCCTTTCCGGATTCTTTTTGTAGATATCCGGAAGATCAATCATTTGTATTCGTTCATCGTATATCGTGAGATTATAAATCATTTTAAATTTTTATAGTACTTAACGAAAATTGATTGCACAATTTACGATGAACAAACACGATTAATTAATTTTTGGATCCCCACAAAGAGGATCTGGAGAGAATTATTGTCCTCTTGATGACTTTCAAACTATTGATTGTGATCGATTAATACTCAATATTTATCTTCACTTTTAATATTTATATTTAAGAAAAGAGATTTTAAATTCAATACAGTTTTAAAAATATTAAAGATTTGTGTTAAGTTTGATACTTACTTATGGCCAAGGTTCTAAAAAACGCTATGCGCTAGTCGGGCGGCGGGCTAGTGCTTAGGCGGCTAGGCAGATTTAAGTAAATTTCTTGTATATTTTGTAAATAAGTGTATATTGACACCTAAAAAAAACTATACTTGTATGGATAATAAAATAATGATAAAATACAAATTAGGTACACTATTTCCATAAGTATTGGATGAACTTGTAGTAAATTCGTCATTTGCAAATTAGATACACCATTTCCATAAGTATACCACCATGAAACCAAAAAAGAAAAAAACACGCAATTAATAAAAAATAAATATAAAAAACCTCCTAGGATTGCCTAGCCCGTCTAGCCACCTAGCCCGCCTAGGCCCAACCCGATTTTTCCGCCTGATTTGCCCAAAAACGCCTCGGTTGCTAGGCGCCTAGGGCATTTTTTAGAACACTGCTTATGGCTAACTCGAAATCATTTGTTTATTCTGTGTTTTATATTTTTAAGATTAGGTAATTTTCCTCACAATTTTGGATAGTAATTCTCTTCTTGTTGTGTAAATATAGAAACTAGCTAAGAAATAAAAGGATATGGTCACCAATAAATAGCAAGTACAACTTCCTAGTCAAAGGCTCAAAAGCAACATTTGTTTAATTCTTTAAAATACTTACACAAATAATTCCTTTTGTTTGTTTCTTTTAAATTCGGAAAATATGTACAAGTTATTTTTCAACAACTATAGGTTGAGGGCATCTCCACCAACCAACATAATCTTTGCTTTTTACCTCTTAAGATCATTGTCCTTCTCAAATATTCCTCATCTCTTTTCAATCGGAAGAATGGATGATGTTCAAGGAAAGTGACTTATAATTTTTTAAATTGGACCATCCTATTAATAAAACTAATTCTATATCCCCTATGGTGTGAAATGTGAAAGATAATCGAGTGGTTGATATCTTTAGTCTTAAAAGCCGGTATAGTTTGAAACGAAGAACTATCGAGCATTCGAATACCTAGCTTAGTAGAAGCTACAAGAATTGTAGCATGTCGGAAAACCAATCTACTTTGGAAAACGATCAATCTTGCTAATCCCTTTCAAAAGGGATTTTTTTTTTTTTTTTGCACAATTCGCCATCTAAATCTTTACTCTTGAACATTTCTTTGGTTGGATATTTAAATGCTACTTTCATGTTTGAGAGGGACATTTTTCTATCCATGTCCACCGCCAAGTTATTGGTGTTGTTCATCGCCTTACTCGCTATTCTCTTCATGTTGTTAGTTTTTGCTCTTGGTTTGAGGAACTTCCTAACTGTATTTCTAATTTGTTATTTGAGGGTTGTGATAGCTAGTATTTTGATGTAATGTTCTTTCCTCTTCAATAAAATCTATCGTTTCTTACAATACAATAAAAAATTCTACTTTCTTAATTTGCTAGATAATATTTTAAACTACTACAATCTACCATAAGAATAAGCGGATATTAGTGCCAAAGAGCAAGCATGCACATTAATCTAACTAATTGGTTAAACCCATGTTTGCAAATGGTACTAAGATACAAATTAACATTATTAGATTTTAAGAGTTGTTTTGGAAGGGAAAGCTAGATTGTATCAAATGACCTAGCAAACTATAAATTTCGAAATTGATGATTATTATTGAAAACGACACCCACAACCTTTGGCCCTCCATAATTGGCCAAAATCTTAATTGGAGAGGCACCAAAACAAATAAAAAATTGTGGTAAAATATTGGCATTTTTCTAAAATTGGAGTTCAAGGTACTTCCACTTTTGGACATGATCCCAAGGTGGACCAAAATAAAGAGACCCCCAAAATTCTATGTGCAACTTTCCAAAATCTCTCGCTCACTATATTTTATTGGATGCATGAAGCAAATCTCTCTTCCCACATTATTCTAATTTTCAGATGGAAAATCAAATTCTTGATTTGAACTTCCTGTTTGGTAGACTTGATGAGATTGAATCTTGGAATATGATTGGATTAGCAGGAATGAGTTACATAACTTATGTGTGTAGTTGGGATGCAAAACCCATCATTTTCCCCTTATTTCGGAGTTGTAACCAATCTCATCTGTGTTACAATTTTTTTCTCACCAAACATTGGTTGGGCTACAAGTCCAATTTAATTGGAAATAACTCATCCCATCTCTTGCCCACCAAATGGGTCCTTCGAGTGCCTTTCCCCTTCTTTTTTTTATTTGAACAAAGAATATTATCTACAACAAGGAAAATGGGGTATCTCCCAAATTTAACTCAATTTGTTAACACTTTAATTGTTGGTCGATATTAGTTTATGTTTCTTATTGTTATTGATATCGTTTATTATATCGCACGGTCAACATAGAGAATTAGTGTGGCCACGGAATTAGTGTGGTCGATATTAGTATTTTACTTCTTTAAAATACTTGCACAAATAATTCCTTTTGTTGTATTTGTTTCTTTTAAATTCAGAAAATATGTACAAGTTATTGTTCAACAACTATAGGTTGAGGGTATCTCCACCAACCAACATAATCTTCGCTTTTTACCTCTTAAGGTCATTGTCCTTCTCAAATATTCCTCCTCTCTTTTCAATTGGAATAATGAATGATGTTCAAGGAAAGCGGCTTATAATTTTTTGAAATTGGACCATCCTATTAATAAAACTAATTCAATATCCCTTATGGTATGAAATATGAGAGATGATCGAGTGGTTGATATCTTAAGTCTTAAAAATTGGTATAGTTTGAAATGAAGAACTATCGAGCATTCGAATCCCTAGCTTAGTAGAAGCTACAAGAATTGTAGCATGTCGGGAGACCAATCTACTTTGGAAAACGATCAATCTTGCTAATCCCTTTCAAAAGGGATTTTTCTTTTCACAATTCGCAATCCAAATCTTTACTCTTTTGAAAATTTCTTTGGTTGGATATTTAAGTGCTACTTTCATGTTTGAGAGGGACATTTTTCTACCCATGTCCACCGCCAAGTTATTGGTGTTGTTCATCCCTTTACTTGCTATTCTCTTCATGTTGATAGTTTTTGCTCTTGATTTGAGGAACTTCCCGACTGTATTTCTAATTTGTTATTTGAGGGTTGTGATAGTTAGTATTTTGATGTAAAGTTCTTTCCTATTCAATGAAATCTATCATTTCTTACAATACAATAAAAAATGTTACTTTCTTAATTAGCTAGACGATATTTTAAACTATTCCAATCTACAATATGAAGAAGCGGATATAAGTGCCAAAGAGCAAGCATGCACATTAATCTAACTAATTGGTTTAACCCATGTTTGCAAATAGTACTAAGATACAAATTAACATTATTGATTTCTTTTTAAGAGACAATATTATCTACACTAAGAGGGAGGGGGTGGGCTTGGCCTCACAATGAGATAGAAATAATGTGGTTCAAATTCACCTTTGACGAGAATCGAATCTAAGATCTCCCACTTACAAGTGAAGAGAAATACCACTAAACCGTAGTACTAAGTAACATAAATTAACATTGTTAGATTTTAAGAGTGTTGTGTTTGGTGATAAAAGGGAAAAGCTAGACTGTATCAAATGACATAGAAATTATAAATTTCGAAATTGATGATTATTATTGACAACGACGCCCATAACCTTTGGCCGTCCATAATTGGCCAAAATCTTAATTGGAGAGGCACCAAAAAAAAAAATTGTGATAAAATATTGGAATTTTTCTTAAAAATGAAGTTCAATCTACTTCCATTTTTGGACATGATCCCATGCTGGACCAAATAAAGAGACCTCCAAAATTCTATATGCAACTTTCCAAA